CAGTAATTCTATGTCATGTTATATAGTTACTCACTAATGACACTGAAAGATAGTTAAGCGAAATCACGAATTGACTGAGGTTAGAAATGTAATCCATTGTATGTCGACTCATTGACCTATAGGTTAAGCATCCACAACGAAACCTGAAGACCTTAGATTCGACCATTGTTTATGTCGTGTATATGCCACTTCTCGCTACATACTACTTACAAGCAATCTTGTTAGTATTATTCACCCACCAACAACATATATTAATAATCGTTCCCCATCATGAATTTACTGAATTTAAAAATATAATCGTTTCATCTAATGGTATTGTCCCCTCATTGAGAATTGAACATTAAAGTTTTGACCTCCCAAACCAGAAATAAACATTACCGACACCTACTTTTTTGATAGCTCTTTTGGATATCGTTAGTTTATAACCGAAATCCTTCTCACTTTGCTTGTTTCTTGTTGTCGACCCAATCAAAGCGAATTAGATTACATTGAACCGAGTTCAATTAGGGTTACATGTAAAACAATCTTGCAATATATATATCGTAGAATTTCATTACAGTTAAAATATTCAACTAACGCAATTGGCGGTGTATTTAATACACCGCCAAATCGAATAAACTGACTAATTCCCCTCCTGAAATCTCTTGAAAACGTATTTTGATTATGCGTCCCAAAATATTGAGGAAACGGGTATTTAATACTTTCTAGGTATCACAGGTTTTTCAGTCGATTCTAAAATGCCTTTGAGAGTGATTATCAGAGAATATTTTTCATAGTACTGATTAGTTGCTAAGATTTTATACTAAGAATCACTTAGTACCGAATAAATCTAACCGATTGTTTGTAAAGGGATCAGTGTCAAAATTTCTGAATGAGATGATAGATATTTGAAGTAGTATTGTGGTACACTTTACTTATTGATATGTCTTATCGTTTTAATGCTCCTTTTTATATTTGGTCGTCTCTGATTTTTGTGTCGGAAACGCTTATCACTTATACTTGAAACGAAGGACCTCTGCAATTCCCACGACACGAAAGTAAGAACACAAGACTTGTATACGTGAGCATGACAACAACGACGACGACCCTAGTCGAAAATACACTCATTTATATAATGACTGTACACAAATTTTGATTAATAATTAAGATGAAATCACACATATAAAAAAATACTCAGTTATGACAAATCATATGCTGAGCATAGTTCATGTCATATACGAATATTGTACGTTATACAGAATAAGATATCGTACAAAAAACAAAACAAATACTACATTGAGTAATCATTACATTTAATCAAAACGGAAGTAATGTTGAACAAAACTCATGGTGAGTAAATCAATCGAATTTTGACTTTTCTTCCCGTCATATCACTTGTGTTGACAGATACAAGTAGCATGAAACAGTCGCCGGAAGGTGAATATATGGCAGCAGAAGATTGCTAGGCAACTATGTAATTACGTATTAAACATTAAACTGGTTTTCTCCACCTGACTTCTTCCTTCACTACAGTATCAGCTTCCTACAACGCTTTCTTTCTAAACATGGAATCTGTTTCAAAAAGTAATTCTTATCACTTTCCCATCGTAATCCGCTACATCAAGAAATTCCCTAGTTTAAGGAAGTAGTTGTCAGTAAAACTGGGGTATATTTTTTGTATTATTTGGCACCTTTCAGGAGGGTACACCTGTAATCTTGAGGGAACTGATACCTTCTGGGGGATTCAATCTCGTGTCACCTAGATTCACAGTTGCAGACGTTACCACTGAAATATCCGGGCTGCAACTGATCTCCTGTAGGACTGAGATAAACTTACAGTTGGTTGATCATTGAGTAGTGACTAATGTTATGTATTTCAGTTCCTTCTTATTGATGATCGACTAGTCCTGTTGATTATCTTTAATCACCACTTTAGATCTTTACATAGTGTACGCGATTTCGAGTCATTTAAGCTGATGACCACATTACAACTTGATCGACAGAACTAGATCATCACTAAGAAGGACATGACATTGGTAAACCAACAAAATATTCAAATATTACTTTGTCTGAAATATGAAATATCATTCTTTAAATTAATGATTGAAATCATGAATCGATGAATGTTAGACCACCATTAAAAACCTGAATACATTGGAAAGGCCTCTTCGTCTTAGTATGAGATGCGTTAACAATGCACATTCACACTCTCGTACATGGGAATCTAACCCAGAACTCTTAACCTCTAGACCACTGAGAAAGTGTTCGACGGTGTTAATGTTTAAATTCAATCAATCTACAATATTTTGCTATCATCCTCCATTGTCTTCAGTGGATGAATGCCTCATATTCTACACAGATTAACTTCATTGATCACAGCTTCACACTAGAACACTTCTCGAAGCCATAAAATAAATTTAGATCTATTCTATTAAATTCCTTAAATAAATATAATGAAGCAAACAACAAAAGAAATAGATTAATTAATTCATAAATCTAGAAAAAATAATAAATTCTTAAAACCTTAACTTCGTTTAAACTATCTCACTTTTTCATTTTATTTCGTTAGGTTCTTCAGAGTAAACTAATCACTAAATATGTAGAGAATATTTGAAAACAAACATAATGGATACTAATGAATGATTAGTAATAATTTAATACACGTATACAATTCGTGCTAGTCTTGTTTAATAAGAATGAATGACAAGATTATCATTTATGGATGAATCAATAAGGTATAATTGGTCTTGGATTTTGGCTCGAAGTTCACTTATTCATTGATTTGGATAAATTAAATTTTTGGCGTTATAGCTGTTATATCTAGAAGGTTGTTCTTGATATACCGCGTATAACGTGAGCATTAGAACGCCAGAATCCCTCCAAGTCTCAATGAGAAGACAGAAGACTAATGAAAGGAATATTGTTCCCCAGACAGTGTCAATTATAGTACAAAATTTTCAGGTATTTATAGTGTTTAGTAAGAACGAAATCATCATTACAGTCCAGTCCAATCGGGAAGCTACATATAGGAATTCTAGAATGTTCTTCCAAAAGGTGATTGGATGGAATATCTTCGGCTCCTTCTGAACCTCCTGCAGCTTCCTCAAGTTCATCCGTGGTCCGTCGTCACAATAGCTAATGTCATCATTAGTTCATGATGAAAATCTTAAAATGATTAACTGTAAAATCATAATTCTGATCCCCCTACAATATTCTCTTACTTCCATTTGGTCTTAGTTATTAGGTGAACACTCTCAGCGTCAATTTGGTGTCGCTCACAGGTTGTTCATAAATTATAGTCTCATCGTTATCTGGTATTTTAGAGATCAAATTTTTTTGAGAAAAATAGAAAAAAAAATTAAAAAAAGAAACGTATCAATGGAATTTGTCGTTTAAATTAGAAGTCATACATACTTCATTGAAATTCTATGGAAATATTTCAAACAAAAATTTAAAAAAATTGCCATATAGTAACCATAGAAACTTTTATTTTGGCAAATATATTTCATATTTCTTCTTTTTTTGCTTTATTATCTGAAACTTAATTTGTTCATCAAGTGATGATAAGATTTTAAATAAGAAGATAATATAGAAATTTATGAAATAGAGAATTATTCATGAGTAAATTAAAGCTAGACGACTATAGAAAATCCTAGAAACAGTAGATGGCTGTTTCGTTCTAGTATGAGATTCCTCAGTAATGCACATCCACAATCCCGATCGAACGAAACAACCATCCAGTGCTTTTAGATTTCCTATGGTGGTCTAACTTTAATTGACTCATGAATTCAACTAATAAATCACTATAATATCTACAAAACCCTCTTTCTGAGAAAATTATTCACTAAATATGTACTATTAGCTGATATGAATGATTATAAGTTATCAAAGTAAATAAATAACATTAAATTAGGCACTGCTCTTTGTTTACTAATGATCCATTTGTTTGTTTTGGTCGAGTTTAGTTCAAAATGATCTAAATAACAGTATTAAAGTGAAGTGAACTAATGATTGGAATTTAAATAAACATTGGATATGAGAAAATATGCTACATATGGAAAGAGAAACAGTATATTTATTACAGAAGTTATTATCTAACATAAATAAAATAGTTTACATCACGAACTGTACTTAGCTAGATAAACATTAAGAACTAGAGAGCACTGGATAGATTTTTCATCTTAGTTTAGAACCTTACACCAGTGCTCATCAATGATGTAAGATCTTTAAGTCTGATGGACAGCGCTTAACACATAGATCACTAAGGCGATATACAATAGTTTTCATTTCTCATTTAAATTAGCTGGTGATAGTGCTCAACTATCGTACAATATCATTCATAGATACCCCACTCCTGGTATGTCTGGATCTACCTAATTATCATTTCTTCCTAGAACTGAAGGAATAACTCCCCAAAATTAGTCACTGGTGATAACTGGTGATATTATTACTACAAGAAGTTAGTGCAAATATAAACTACTGTATAGTTTAATGGCCAAACGATTAAGTTCTTGTCACTAGGCCAGAAGACCATAGATCTAAATCTCTGTAAGGGATTTTATGTGCAATGTTAAGAATTTACATCATGAGCCAAATAACCTCTCCAGTGTTGTATGGTTCAACAATTACCACAAATTTTGATATTATGAATAAAATAGATTTATCAGCCTGTTTATTTTTTTTTAAAAAAAGAAAACAACAACAACTCACAAACTTCATTAAATTTGAAACAGGACAACAAAATGTTTTACTCATATGATTCTATTTGCCTCATGACTTGATAATGCGAAAAAATAATTCATTTTTAAATTATTAGTTTTTTGGTTTTTGACTACAATACTGTAATAATTACGTAATTCATTAGAGGCTTGTAATTGTACCATCATTTGAACTACAGAAGAAATGAATTATAACAGATTAATTGATCTATTAATATCTGTGATAATAATGTTCATGAAGTTTATCAAATATAGATACTTAAAGAATGTTAATTTATTTAAATATTACCGAAAATCAAATGAATGACATGTAATTATGATGAAATAAAACAAACTTAATATTACTGTGGTGTGTGCTACTAATGTTAACATATATAAGTAGTATATACCATCAATGGAATGTGAAATGCCTAGTGGTAGAAGGTTAAGTAGATCAAAGAAAAAAAGAGAACAAGAACAAAGAATGCTTGTTGTGGAAACGAAGGAACATTAAAGTCTGAGACGATTGATTGATATTTTATAAATGAAGTATTTACCATATGGTTCTCAGATATTACTAAAACATTCTGTAATTTTGTATTCAAATATATTCGATTGTCATCACTTGTGCTCTCGTTCACTACTACTACTACTACTACTACTACTACTACTACTACTACTACTACTACTACTACTACTACTACTACTACTACTACTACTACTACTACTACTACTACTACTACTACTACTACTACTACTACTACTACTACTACTACTACTACTACTACTACTACTACTACTACTACTACTACTACTACTACTACTACTACTACTACTACTACTACTACTACTACTACTACTACTACTACTACTACTACTACTACTACTACTACTACTACTACTACTACTACTACTACTACTACTACTACTACTACTACTACTACTACTACTACTACTACTACTACTACTACTACTACTACTACTACTACTACTACTACTACTACTACTACTACTACTACTACTACTACTACTACTACTACTACTACTACTACTACTACTACTACTACTACTACTACTACTACTACTACTACTACTACTACTACTACTACTACTACTACTACTACTACTACTACTACTACTACTACTACTACTACTACTACTACTACTACTACTACTACTACTACTACTACTACTACTACTACTACTACTACTACTACTACTACTACTACTACTACTACTACTACTACTACTACTACTACTACTACTACTACTACTACTACTACTACTACTACTACTACTACTACTACTACTACTACTACTACTACTACTACTACTACTACTACTACTACTACTACTACTACTACTACTACTACTACTACTACTACTACTACTACTACTACTACTACTACTACTACTACTACTACTACTACTACTACTACTACTACTACTACTACTACTACTACTACTACTACTACTACTACTACTACTACTACTACTACTACTACTACTACTACTACTACTACTACTACTACTACTACTACTACTACTACTACTACTACTACTACTACTACTACTACTACTACTACTACTACTACTACTACTACTACTACTACTACTACTACTACTACTACTACTACTACTACTACTACTACTACTACTACTACTACTACTACTACTACTACTACTACTACTACTACTACTACTACTACTACTACTACTACTACTACTACTACTACTACTACTACTACTACTACTACTACTACTACTACTACTACTACTACTACTACTACTACTACTACTACTACTACTACTACTACTACTACTACTACTACTACTACTACTACTACTACTACTACTACTACTACTACTACTACTACTACTACTACTACTACTACTACTACTACTACTACTACTACTACTACTACTACTACTACTACTACTACTACTACTACTACTACTACTACTACTACTACTACTACTACTACTACTACTACTACTACTACTACTACTACTACTACTACTACTACTATTACTACTATCAATTTGTGTTTCTACATATTATGTTCAGTGACGTAATCTATTACAGTTGAGATGATTGACTCAAATTGCCTTGATTGATTTAACATTATCATATAAATATTCATGTATATTATTTCAACAATCATTTCATTTGAAATTTCAACTTAGTAACTATCATTTTATGTTTCTTAAATGTTTCACTTTATAGGGGTTATCTTTGTGAGAGTGATTTGTTTAAATAAACATTCATAATTTACTGAATATTTTTGAATTCATAAAAAATTGAAAATTGATTGTCTTTTAGTGGTCTAGAGGGTAAGCGTTCACGCGCGAGACTGTTAGGTCTTTGGTTCGAATCCGGAGAGCGCACTGCTGAGGAGTTTCATACTAGGAAGAAACGGCTTTCCATTGCTTCCAGGTTTTCTATGGTGGTCTAGCTTTCACTGTCTCATGAATTCAACTATAAAACGTTTAAATGTCAACATTTGGATGCTAATATTGTACAGTAGATTCTTTTTAAATCTGACATTAGTCAAATCAAATGATCTCATTTACAATAAAATGAGAAGTGGCTGAAAATTTGAAACTATATACCTAATATGTATTAGAGTAGCTGATCACCAAGCAGTAACCACTGTTATTTTCCATAGTTTCAAGTATCAGTGTGATCAAATTATTCAAGTTTACCGATTACGAAGAATATTAAATGTGAGAAGTTACAAAGTTTTTATATAATAATTCAACGTGTTTGATGTCACCAACTTCTGGTCTGAGCCATGTTGGTAGATGCAGACTACTTGGTTGGGGTCCACGTGACTATCGTAACCAATGGTTGGAGACTCTTGATGACATGGCTCAGAATCGACCACAGTGGTGTAGGTGTATACACTCTCTGTCTCCCCTTAAACTAAGAGATTAAAATCGCTTCATATCTTTCATTCTACGAACTAGTTATTTCTTCCTGTACTATATCCTTATATGCAATCCTTCTTTTATATATTACCACCATTGAATTTACTACTTCTATGGATTTGGTGTTGATCTTGATGTGCTAATGAGGTGTGGCAACTTGAACCGATGCATATATGTGCCTAGTCCTACGTTGTATCTGACTGACTAACTAAATTCCATGTAGCTTCCAGTCATCCATTTACATCTTCCAGTGTGTTCTGTAATCTGAGATGTCCTTTCAACTGGTCTCCAAGTGTTCTACCAACGCCGTGCTTTCAATGTACTGAAGCTCTTCACTGTGCAACTTACAAATCACCTTCCACTACACACTATTTACAAACATCCTTGTGAGTAACTTCCACTGCATTGGTACCATAAAATCGAATTTGTACTTTATCAACGGCTTGATTTTCATTTAGGTTTGGTAATTGATCGTAAACAACTGAGTATCCCTTTTTTCAAACTGACCGAATTTTAATGATATCAAATGGGTTTTCAAGATTATTCTCAAATAGTATAGCGAAAGCTGCATTCCGAATTCATAAACTTACCACTATTCAAAGTATAATTAGGTAATATTGGTCTTAATGCTACAACAGATCTATGAACTATATTGTTTCAAGTTGATTAGTTGATTATCAAAAAGGGCTTTTTTCATACTAAAATTTATTAGTTGAATAAGCTTGATCTTATATGGTAAACAGGACTGAATTAAGCATCAAATTACTATTTTAACTCAAATGTAAATCACATTGACATTGAACAAATACTCAAGCTATGTGTTAAGACTACCAGTTTGTAGATTTATCGCTAGAAAAATAAATATCAAATCATAAGAAGAACACTGTATTATTGTTAACCAAGTAACTGGATTTTCTAAATGGCATCATCTAAGTGAAGTAGATTAGTAGATTAGTTTAAAAGGGATCAGATATCTTGTAAAGCAGTAGATTTTCTGTATGTTAGTATCAATAAACTTGAAATGAACATAAATGTATTTTGTTACTGTCACTGATGAGTACTAACAAATACGTAAGCTTAATAAAGGTTCTTAAACAATAATTGAAAATTCCAGTTATAGACAGAGGTTATAGGCAGAGGTCATTTCTAACTTACTCATAGTATCTGACTTATAAGTAACAAAGAAGTTACTTAGTAACTAAGAAGTTGGTGTTGATATTCTTGTAACTGAATAACTGCTTACAGTACCTAGAAATGTATTTTTTAGTCGATTTGTTGTACAAATGATTACTTTTTTACTTTCGATAAAATAATACTGATTTTCTAGTTATTGACAAATGATATGAACACGAAATCCGATGTTTACCAATAACGTGTACATTCCTGACAGAGCATAGTCAACACGATGTCAAGTAAGCACTATTCAGTGTAATCAGAGGAATTCGATCAGCATTAAGAACTGAATAAATCTTACATCATTCAACATTCAGTAATTAATCACTATAGAATTCTTAGTCATACGTAAGATTAGTTATCAATGGTATAGCTTAATGGTAATGTACAAGATACTGAGTGACTGTGATTCAAACTTCACACACCGTATCAACTTCATCTAGAATGTAGATACTCTTCGAGTTCCAAAAACACGAAACATTAGTCTAGAACATCATATCAACTGTTATTAACCACCCAATATAGACTTATACGCTCTTCGAACAACAAAATACTAATTTCTTCAAAGAAGAGTGGCCAAGTTTGAATTATGAAGTTGATCTCACCATCTAGTTTACTAAATTCAATCACATATATTACTAGCAAAATCAAAAGTCTATTTCCCGATGATTTTTCCATTTTAATGGGTAGAACAGCCAAATTAGTATTAATTAAATTATACTACTCATAAAAATTCAATAGTTTGTTACACATTTCACAATTTTTGAGCACCAATCCAATAACATTTCGAAAACAACATATAAGATTTTAAAAAAATGTTTCATTCATCATAGGCCATAAATTATTACAATGTCATTAATTTTCTTTGATTATGTAAATTCATTGAAAATAAAAATAATTGTTATGTAATCAAAAAATAATAATAAGTACAGTCTATGAACTAATTGAATAGAAATGATAATATGAAAAGTAAGGAAAATCTTAAAGTTAATCACATCCCTATTAAACTAAACGAAGTGTTCATGATAAGAAAATCAACAGAGAAGACAGTACTGATAACCTACTGTTTATCTCGTAGAAAAAACAACAACAGATATTTAGTATCTTTATCATTTTGTAAAATTCTTCCCTCATCATACTGATGTGCATATTAACACATGACAAATTGTATCTATGATTGGACATTAATAATAAGTAGCAAATAAATCATATATTGGCTTAAAATATAAAAGTAAGTACAAAAAAATAAATAAGGCCTCCAAGATCATCCTGAGAGGTTTTCATGAATCGATGAAAAGATTATTTGTTTTATCTTCATACATTTTATTTGGTTTATTATTGAATAAATTATTTCATTGATAGTAGTCTATTTGACATCAAAGAAGATTGGGCTGAAAGTGAAAGAGATATTTCTTTTTAAATAAAAATCAATAAATCATACATTTTTAGCAGAAAACAGAATACTGCTTTTAAGTAGTATGATTAAAATGTGCAAAACAATTAAAGAATGTGCGTGATATTTATAAAAATTTCATAACTTAATGGATATTTATATTCAGAAACTGAGTGTATGATGCGTTCAGTGTTTCAAGCGAAGTTTATTGGTTGCAAACACTTGAAGAAGAAAATTTGGAGGATGCAAAAACGGTGATGAACACGGTGGATCTGATGCAGATGTGAAGGCCCGGATTGGCAAAGCAAGAGCAGCATATATATAACTGAAAAACATCTGGGACTCAACACAACTGTCAACCAATACCAAGGGCAGAATTTTCAATATAAATATCAAGACAGTTCTACTGTATGGGGCGGAAACATGGAGAACTACGAAAGCCATCATCCAGAAAATACAAGTGTTTATTAACAATTGTCTACGCAAAATACTTTGGAATCGTTGACCAGACACTATTAGCAACAACCTACTATGGGAGAGAACAAACCAGATTCCAGTGGAGGAAGAAACCAGGAAAAAGAGCTGGGAGTGGATAGGACGTACATTGAGCAAAGCACCCAACTGCATCACAAGGCAAGCCCCCATATGGAATTTTTAAGGCTACAGGAAAAGAGGACGACCAAATAACACATTACGTCGAGAAATAGATAAAGACATGTGAAAAATGAACGAAAATTGGATAGATCTAGAAATGAAGGCCCAGGACAGCGTGGGTTGGAGAATGCTGGTCGGCGGCCTATGCTCGATTGGGAGTAACAGGTGGAAGTAAGTAAGTAAGTTATTGGTTGCAAATCGTAGCTTGAACTTGAATGATTAAACGTTAGAAAATCTGATTAACGAGTATCAAATAAGATGAAACGTGAGTCCTGGATTCCACTGTTAGCGACTACTTAACTTTACTTAAAAATTTACCCGATAGTTGTTGGAAATATAAATGATTTCGCTGGAAACTTAAAATAAAAGTTTTATTTTTAAACCCATAAATTTCGACAAAGTGTTGAAACTCAAATGTTTCATCTCGTCCCAGATTTATAATTATGCATAAGTAATCAATAATAATCATAACCTTTAGTTCTTCACACTGTTCGATATAGTTTATATTTAATCTTAAAGGAATATAGACAAGAAAGATTGGAAAAACACCTTAAGTCTTAGTGACAAACAACAACTTCCTGTAAATAAAAGAGGAACTACTTCCGTTTTAATTTGTATAATATGCTATTCAAACAAATGAAAATAAAGATGAAATGGTGAAACTATTATTTATGGACAACCTATGAGCGACACCAAACTGACGCTGAGAGTATCTACCTAACAACTAAGATAATATGAAGGTTAGAAAATATTGTGGGGTTTACAGTTGATGATTAAGGTTAGGAATCAGATTTATGGTTTTCATCACGAACTGACATAAGCTATAATGCCAAATCTATATTTAGCCGAATGAATGAGTGAATTTCGCGCCAAAATTCAAGACCTATTACCTGATACCTGATTGGTTCATCCATAAATAGTAGTCTCGCCGATAAAACATCATTGTGATATTTCAAGTTGACTTTTTTTTTCTAATGTCTGATATTTTATATTGTTATAGTTGGTTATATATCATCAATACTGTATCATAGTTGAACAAAATATTTAAGTGTGATCTATGCCTTTTTGAACACAAATCTCAAAGCTTACTGTAATACACGTGCTAAGATATTCTTTTTGATATGAAAATCATTACATGAAGTTGTTCGAAGAATCAATGAAATGTAAGGAGTATTCCAACTTATGATTTTTCAAAAGTTTACCCAATACTAAGTTCAAACTAGTAAAGAATCGCAATTGAATATTTCTGGAGAGTTATAAACTAGGATGAGATATTTCCTTGGAAGCAATGATGGATAGTGGCTAGCAAAGGAATCCAGGACGCGCGTTCCGTCCCATTTGCGGCTCGTCAGGCTGATGTACTTGCATCTCGGAGTTGATGTCCACTCTGGGACTCGAACGCCATTGCGCTATCTACTCAGCTACTGAGGCCTGGTAGACACTTCCTTGTGCAATGGGGCGAATTTAAATTCACTTGGTATTGTTTAGCTTGTATCTTCCCATTGAGGTTTAAGACTGCAACTGATCAGTCCTGGATTCCACTGCTAGCCACTATCCATCCCTGCTTACAAAAAGCTTGTGAATTAAGGCAATATCGAGGCATACGCACAGTATGCACATATGCCAATAACAGACTGATCAATTGCAGTCTAAACCTCAATGGGAAAATACAAGCCAAACAATACCAAGTGAATTTAGGATGAAATAGCTGTATAACATTTCTTATTCAAATGAGCTCTTTTCTATCTATTTCTGTCATAAAAATTACCTTTAAAGTCTATGGATATATAAATAAATATGCATAAAATTATAGTTATAATGGCATTTTACGAATTATTGATATTAAGAATATAGATTGTGCATAAGGTGTACTAATATTATTCACATTTAAAACAACAGTTAAATGACAAGAATGTTAGTGCTGATTCGAACAATAAAATAGTATAACAGTGAAATGATATGGTGATCTGAATGAATACAGTATTTAGATTATTCGGTCACTAAGTAGTAACGAAATTCAAGTTTGTTCAGCCCTTAGTGATATTGAAGTTTTATCTGCCAAATTACAATGTTATCACTAGTCTCAGTAACTCAAGATCTCATTAGTCACTAACCTAATAGCTCACTAACTGTAAAACTGGTTGGCCAAAATAAGAATCTGATGAAAGGACAGCTCTGTAAGACCTCAACTACACCTTCCGAGCAAGTGGTAATTAACACATAACCTAGGTGTAGGGTATCTTGCCAACTGGCTCCAATCACCTAATAAAATATAATGAAAAGAGTGTAACCCTAGTCAGTCATTATGCATCATTTTTAACATATATTATTGTCTAATGAAGCATTCAATTTCGGTCCATTCAATGTTTATTTCAAGTTCTTTATCTAATAATCTTGACAGTGTAAATGTTTATTCATTAGAAAATATATTTGTGGTTTGTTTTTACAAGGAGGTGACATTTCATAAGGATGTTTATTATGCTAAATGAATCATGTTTCATGACATGATTTTTCAGGTTCAAAACCTAACTGTAATCTGTGTGCTTCATATCCATAGTTGGAGAGCTTCATAACAAATAAAGCTATAGGGACTAACAGACTAGATGATAATATCATATTTTATTAATTAACAGGAATTGGGCGCATAGTATTAAGCTGATTGAATTTTGTGATTGGTAAACACTTCATACACATTAGATAATCAAAAATAACGTTTTACAATCAGACAACAATGAATAACAAAAATTACACACACACACACACACTACATTAACTCATCCACCGGGTACTTGAGGATGAGCGATACTCCAAGTAGAACAGCTAATAATATTATCTGACTGCTCAGACCGAAGCAAATGGAGAGGGGTTCGAACATGGGGCCCTTGAACCTCCTCTTCATAATAATAATATATGAATCTTTTTTAAAATTATTGAATCAGAATAGCATAAAAGTCAAGTTGAATGTGTATGTTTGTGTAGGAACAAATAGGACAATAACTTTTCATACATGAATGAAGATGTTATTATTGCATTCAATGTTCATTCTTTAAAGAAAGTCTAGCAAAAAATTAATGTTAAACAACCATATAAATATTTTAGATGCTGCGGCATTTCTTACACCGATTAGTTACCCTTTTAATCCTCAATGAGTTTGGGTATAAAAAACAATGTGCATCCTCAATCTTTCTCAATAAACAGTATACATGAACTTGAGACTAGCTGTCGACGATTATTTAACTGTTGAGTTCAAAACAAAATTACCATGATATGTAAAGTTGTTCAGCCTAATGAACAAAATAAACGATTTGATTGACAAAGTTTATTTAAAATTAAGGATTATAGCATCATACCCATAACTACTAATTGTCATTAAGAACATCTGTAAAAGTTCAAAATGATATTTCTAAACTTTTAACAACAAACTAATAACCGTATTCCTTCATTATGGTCTTGAAAATTGACTATAATTATATTCCATTTCCTAGGAAATTCTTATATGAATTCTAATCGATATTGTTGGCTTTAAGAGAAATAAATTTAGTTTGACTTTTAGAGTTTAAGTTGCACTCCAAAACTTTTTATGCAAGCACATACTATCATAAAGTTGAACACAAAAAATGAAGACATTTTTTTATTCTAGATATTTTTCGTAACATAAGTGATTTACAATAAAACAAGAAAACACTGCCAAGGAGTCCCACAATAGGACGAAACGATCAAGTTTTCCAAGGTGATCTAGCTTCGATTGACTCACGATCTCAACTGTTGGAATTACTACAATCTCCACAAAACCCCCTTCTGATACTAATCAACATATGCTCATTGGTGACTGGCTTCAAGATGTATTTCCTGAAGTTCTAGTGAGAAGCGGTGACCAGTGGAGTTCAACCAGGTCTGTTATGAGATAGTGACTCACTGAAATCAATGGTAAACGGTGGCTCAATTTCGTGGATTTGTTATAGTTAGACACTAACACCGTTGGATGCCTACCAGCTCAGTGGTCTAGAGGTTAAGCATTCTTGCACGAGACCGGTAGGCCGTGGGTTCGAATCTCGTGAGGCGGGATCGTGGTTGCGCACTGCTGAGGAGTCCCACAGTAGGACGAAACGGCCGTCGAGTGCTTTCAGGCTTCCCATAGTGGTCTAGCTTCAACTGACTCACGATCTGAACAATTGGAATAAAACAATCCTTGAATGCTGATCGGCGGCCCATACTCCATTGGGAGTAACGGGCGTAAATAAGTAAGTAATCCTTTGAAGTTGTACTTGACTATAATTATAATTATCAAAATATAGAGTTACAATAGATTAACTATTCCCATAATGGTATGTATGTCATTCAAACACATTGAATCTAAACAGTTTCTAAAATAATGTGCATATAATTATTTCAAGCTGAATATAATCACAAATGATAATAAAATTTTCAAACCAGTAAGTCACAACAAACCAATAAAATTATCAGAAATATCAATACTTATGATCCATTTGCATGTTTGAAAAAAGGTAAGAAAAATTTCGAATATAACTAATACAATAAAACTTGGTTTCGAATCTCGTAAGCGAGATCGTAGATATGCATTGTTGTAGAGTCCCATAACAGGAGGAAACGGCCATCCAATACTTCTACGTCATCAATGATAATCTAACATCAGTCGGTTCGTGATCTCAATCAGAAAAACTTAATAATTTCAATGATCCCATACTAATGAAAATTGACACTTAAAAAATGAACAATTGAATAAGTGAACACTCTCTGTAATTATGTTTATTTAGTGCACCGTTCAAATAAAAAAAGGTATGTGTATTGGCATGACAACAATTACAGCATAATTTTGCTTTATTCATTGCATAGGAATCTTAAAATGAAATAGTGTACATTAAAAAGATATATTTATGGAAGTGAAATTTTATCTTACAGGTATGTCGACGATAAGCAGCATTTAACCATTTTGTGAAACAAGTATCTATATCTAAAGACTAAAGATTAAAATTAATTATCCGATCAGTAATTATAGAGTTTTAAAATATGATTAGTAATAATAAATGATTAGTATAGAATAAGCTAGAAACCATGGTGACATGAAGGTTATGTATAGTGTAAATGTGAAGGAGGATAGTCAATGTTTCAACTTTATTTTAAGAATAATTTCTTTATTATATATATGTAAATGTAATTAAATTGCTTATAAACATTGATTTATGTAAATGTTATGTTCTTTACATATGATTCTTTGATTATGTTTTATTCCAGTTGTTAAGATCGTGAGTCAATTGAAGCTAGACCACCATGGAAAACCTGGAAGCACTGGAAAGTCGTTTCGTCCTATCGTGAGACTCCTTAACAGTGCGCATCCACGATCCCGCCTCACGAGATTCGAACGCAGGACCTGTCAGGCTCGTGCACGAGCGCCTAACCTTTAGAGTTCAACCGGGTCTGTTGCGAGATAGTAACTCACTGAAGACAATGGTGGATGGTGGCGCAACTTCATGAACTGGTTGAAGTTAGAAATTAACATCGTTGGATGCCGGCGAGCTCAGTGGTTTAGAGGTTAAGCGTTCATGCGCGAGGCCGATAGGTCCTCAGTTCGAATCTGGTGAGGCGAAATCGTGGATGCTCACTGCTGAGGAGTCCCACAGTAGGACGAAATGGCCGTCCGGTGCTTCCACATTTTCCGTGGTGATCTAGTTTTAATTGACTCATGAATTCCACTAATAATGAACTGGCGAAAAAAATTTATACATAAAAAAATACATTTAGTTAATAGATTGTAGTAGAGTTTTTGAGAATAGAGTAAGCTCCTAATCTGTTGTCAATTTTATCTTCTACCTTGGATCGTGCAAATTTCAGCTTCCTTTCTTGCTCTTAGTCTACTTTTCATAACTATAACACACTCTTGATAACATTACCAATATCAAGTAAATCACATGAGCTGAATATGTATTTCATTTGAACATACTATCAGCTTAAAAATTGTACTATTTGCATTACTGATCGACAAAAATAGTAGGAAGTTATTTATGTTAGTTTTACGTGCTGGTTAACAAAATCGAAATAATCTGGACAAAAGACGAAAACTTCATTTTTGTTTTTTTACGTCCAAACAACCAATGATGGACTCAGTGTGATTGAGCTTAGAGATCTGATTTTTTTTTTCAAAATCAGTTGGAAGCTGTTACTAACTTTGCATAATCGCTAGCAGTGGAATCCAGAACTTGCAATCAAAATTCACATATACCAAAAGAGACTAATCAGCTACAGTACTTAACATAAACAACAGGTAGATACAAGCTCTGATAAGTCATTTCAAACGAAGTCAGTTATTTGCATGCATCAATTTACTTCAACAAAAGATATATGCATGTTCGTATAACTATGGTGATTTTTGAAAATACAAATTTATTAACTGTATTGTTTAAAACAAAGGCTAGGTTGCCTTCTTTTGCATATTTTTGATTTCTGTTTCGTGATTATGTTGAAAGTTATGAACAAGCGGACATTAGCATGTTTAAAGAACTAGTAATCTTTACGCTTGATCGCTAGATATTTGTAGTCAAACTGATCATAGTTTAAGTTGATTTGTAATTTCAGATATTCTTGATTACATTCACTTGGTACTGTTTGCTTAAATCTTCCCACTGATGTTTAAAACTGCAACTGATCAGGCTCTTGTTGGTATATGTGAATTCTGTGCGGATTGCCTCGATATTGCCTTAAGTCACAAGCATTATAAGCAAAGGTAGATAGTGAACATCAACTCTTGAATGCAGGCACATCTGGCAGACGAGTCTCAAATAAGACGAAACGCGCGTCCTGAATTTCACTGATATCCACCATCCATCTTCGCTTATAATTCTTGTTTACAGTTAAGAAGAAAATCATCATAAACAAGAAAATCTGAAAAATAAAATATTTGAAATTATGAAACGAGTTAGTCCGAAAATTCCTCAATAAAATAACATTTAAGAAAAAAATGTGATTTTTTATACCAGATGCATAATGAATCAATTATATCCCTAATAATTGTTAGACGATGCGGCTAACTAATATTGGTCGCGTTCTTACATTTGTTAACTAACCTGGAATCCTGAAGGGAAACGGAAGACCAAAGAACACACTGAGTTGGGAATTCGAAACAGACATAAAAAGAATGAATAGCAACTGGAAACAACTGGAAAGTATTGTCCAGGACAATGTTGGATGGAGAATGCTGATATACGGCCTATACTCCTCTACAAGGAGTAACAGGCATTAGTAAGTAGTAAGTCTTAAGTTTGCTAGTTTTAGCGTCCGACATCAAACACGTAAACGTTAACGAAGAATCTGATTTTTATATAATAATATTGCTTTGAAGAAACCACTGTAAACTTACTGTTGTGAATTGTTTTTAATGAATAGTAAGTATACTAGTCGATTATACTTGAATATTTTGTAAAGATTTGTTTTACCTTCAGCTCATGACAAATTAATTATCATGTAAATATTCCCAACAATAATGGATTTATAGTCGATACTAAACAACCCAATGAAATCTTGTTACCTACAAATTGTCTATCAGAAACTGATTTAAAAAATCACAGATGAGTATTTACCCTGATCTATACTGTTAATAATTAAATTGTATAGTTGATGACATAATTAATTAGTTGTCATTATTTAGCATAGGAGTGAAATTGTAGAAAAGAGAAGTAAATCGGCTGGTTAATTTGAAACCTGTGTAATTATTGGCAGACCATTACAATAGAATATTCAGTGTACGACAGAAATAAGAAAAATTACACTTTCAGTTTAATCTGGTTGACGTTTTTTAGCAAGACTTTTTCTACGGAATGAGGTTGCCGACCTCACGCCCAACTCTTCTCTTTTTTCGGGCTTGAGACCGGCAGTAACTCTAGAATAGCTACCGGTGGATAGAACATACGTTATGGGAATAATCAAATTGCATCACGAGGCAAGCCCTTACTTGGAATCCTGAAGGGAAGCGGGAAGGAGGAAGGTCAAAGAACAGATTACGTCGTGAAATAGGATAAGATATGAAAAGGATGAATGACAGCTGGGAAGAGCTGGAAAGGATTGCCCAGAACAGGGTTAGATGGAGAGTGCTGGTGAGCGGCCTATGCTCCTCCACGAGAAGTAACAGGCGTAAGTAATAGTAGTACACTTTCAGTACATCATTTCGAGACATAACATTATGATAATGTTACGTAGCTAACTAATGAGTCGGTTAGTGGAAGAAATTAATTCCAAGCACCTCCAGGATGTATCTCTTCATTTTTGCAGCAATTTGGAAGACTCTCTTGGTCTTCCATATAGTACGAGCATTCCATGTACCTAAATTAATGCTTGCTCTGGTTGTCAGAAGAGGCATCAGCCTCGTGACTTCCGAAAGAACTCAGCTTTCAGCATGTGTCATAATTCTTCTAACTTCCAGGGTAGAGTTTAAATAGTCCGGATTATTTTTTCTTGTTGCTGTATCTTAGGGAGTTAGTTTTCTACGGGATAGGGTCTCTAACCCCATGTCCAACCCTCCTCCTATATCCGGGCTTAGAACCAGCAGTAGCCCTAGAGGTGCTCCAGGCGGTTTTAGTTAATATTTATCACTACCAGTTAATCTACCTATAAATATCAAAATAACTTTATGTAAAACAATTTCTCCAAATGTTCTGACTTTATTAAAAATAAAATCTCAATAGCATTCATGTTCGAATAATTCTGTTCTATACTTACTGAATAAAACTGACCATCTTGATTATATGAGTTTTCACTATTATTGAAACATTTCATATTTTCATATGGAGAAATATTACTATTTTTATGAAGTAAACGTGGTGGAGGTGATTTATTAAATGATCCATTCACTCCAGATACTGGAGAATAGCCATGATGTTGTGTTTTTATTAGTTTATTCATATTATCATTGAAGTATGAATTCGAATCGACTGGTTTAAGTGGATACATTGAATTTCTTCGATCAGGATTGTTTTTTTTAGATAAAAAGAAAATTTGAAAAAAAGAAGAGTAATTTGAAGATGATATTACAGTATAGATATTTTATTTCCAAAAATTTGAATATTTAGATGATACTATTATTTAATTATAATATGTATACTCTTAAGTAATATGACTGACAGACAGACAGAAGGATTGAGATCATGAACTGATTGATGTTAGACTACCTTTGGAAACCTGCCAGTACTGGACAGCCGTTTCGTCTCAATCAAAAACTTAATAATCTCCACAAACCATATACTAGTAATTAACATGTGCTCACTAGTGACTAGCTTTGTGAGAGAATTCTCGGAGTCCTAGTGAGAAGCTGTGACCAGTGGAGCTAATCCACTGTCGGGTAGAGACAGGTATCTACCTCAGTACAATGGAAGTTGGTCGCGCAATTTCGTGGATTGATTGATGTTAGACACTATCACCATCGGGTGCCGGCCCAGTGGTTCAGTAGGTTAAGCATTCGCGCGCGAGACCGCAAGCCCTGGGTTCGAATCCCGCGAGCGGGATAGTGGATGCGCACTGCTGAGGAGTCCCACAGTAGGACGAAACGGCCGTCCAGTGCTGCCAGGTTTCCAAAGGTGGTCTAACATCAATCGGTTCATGATCTCAATAAGAAGGTAGATAGTTTAACATCTAAATACTTCGACTTAAGCTTCTATTATATTTTAATAGTTAAGACTCATTAAAGTTCTTATTTGTTTTCAGTTTCATAATCTATAAAACAATTATACTGTTTATTTTGTGATAGATGATCTTCTTTTCAGATAAGATAGTGGTGTTTTTTGTTCAGCTGTCATCGTAACCATTTCTATCATTATTTTAAACGACCATTTCAAATCGATTATTATTAGTCAATAAGTACAAGTATATATATGTGTATATATGGTGATAATTTTCTTTATAAGGTTATTATTATTAACGGTACACCTTTGATAGAAAGTGTTTTTTTGAAGTAGATCTGTGATTACACGTTTTTCTTTTAATTACTATAGAATTATTGTACACTTCATCATGTGGATTTCTTCTTGTTCTTTCTGAGTGAAGATGTCAATTTGTCAAATATTTTTATTTGGTGAAACGATACCTGGCAGTCGTTTCAAATATCAAGATGTATTTATCTTCCCAACAGAATCAAAAGTTTTATCATTCAGCCTTTATGGATATACGAAGAACTCCGCCTGTAGCTCTTCCGGTTAAAGGAGAAGGGTTGGACATAGGGTTAGCGGCCCCATCCCGTGAAAAACTAATTCGCTAAAAAAACGCTAACCAGAAAAAATAATTCAAACTATTTAAACTCTACCCTGGGAGTTGGAAGGTCTTCATTTAGAAGAACTATGACGCCTCATGCCGAAAGCTGAGCTCCTTAGGACGTCACGAGGCTGATGCTCCTTCTAACAACCAGAGCAACAATTTTTATGAGTGCATGGAACGTCCGGACAATGTGGGAGACCGGGAGGGTCAGTCAAATAGTAACGGAAAGGAGGAGATACAAATTGGCAGTACTGAGAATCCGAGAAACCACTTGGGCCCAGGCTGAACAACAAAGGCTAGATACGGAGGAGATGCTGCTTTACTCCGGTCACGAACAGGAAAATGTGCCACACACTCAGGGAGTTGCTCTAGTGCTGTCCAAGGAAGCACGAAATGCACTTGTAGGAGGGGAATCTCACGGATCCAGAATCATCAAAGCATCATTCAAAAACAAAGAAGGAGGGAATTACAATGAATATTATCCAGTGTTATGCACCCACCAATGATAGCAACGACGACATTAAAGATCAGTTCTACGAGCGGCTGCAGTCAATCATAGAGAAGTGCCCAAGAAAGGACCTCACTATTCTGATGGGAGATCTAAACGCCAAAGTCGGAAGAGACACTACTAGATGTGAAGATATCATGGGATGAGATGGATTGACTGGGAGAGAGGAACGAAAATGGGGAAAATTTTGTAAATCTGTGTGCATTCAACAAATTGGTCATAAGAGGCACAATATTTCCACACAACCGTATACATAAAGCTGCATGGATCTCACCGGACTACACTACAGAACAATCAGAACAAAAAATAGTTGGCATACATATAGTAAGTTCATCTTCATATTTATCAGAATGATCTAAGATCTACACATTTTGCTTAGCCAGTTAATGTATTTTACAATTGGAATTACATAATCTCCTTCTCAAGACCCATTATCTTTGCTTTCTACTTAGTCTTATCATTTTACTTCTAGAAAATCCACTTATCTTAGAATTACTGAGATTTATGGATCTTCATTGAAAATTTCTTTTTAATTAATTACCTCCAATTAGTTTATAAGTTATGTTTCCAAGTTGTTAAGAGTTGATAACAATCTAAAAATAACTGAATGAATTCCTATTAATCTGTTACATTTGTTCTTATTATTTTATAATATTCAATAGAAAAAAATAACTGAATGGAATATCATTAGCTATTTGGCAAATCAACTGCTATTTGTTATTTCTGACCATATACACATTCAAGATATGAAATACATTATTAAATCAATATAGAGTATCACATAGACATAATAAAAATTTATTTAATTTCGTTCCAAACCATCACAAACAAAACTAGCAGTTGAAAGAAAAATGCAACACAGTAACCAACACGGAATTGAATAGAAATCGGAATACATACTGATAAAGGGCGAGACTACAATTTATGGACGAACCAATCAGATTTAAGATCACAGGTCTTGAATTTTGGCGCGAAATTTATTCATACATTTGGATAAATATCATTCTAGCATTATATATATCATGTCAGTTCGAGATGAAAAGTCGAAATCTAATTCTTAACCCTAACCATCAATTATAAATTATAATTCTAATTCCTCACATTGGTTTATAACCTTCATTAAGTCCTAGTTCGTAGATGGACATCGTCAAGGTTAGTTTAGTGTCACTCATAGGTTGTCCATAAATTATGGCCTCATTAAAATAATTATAAAATTTCAATGGAAATTATTGAAATTTATACTAACTTTAATGTAGACATATTGTAATCAAGTTTTGATCCAATATTTTTATCTGAATTACCATTAGTGTATACCATAGGATATGAATCCGAATGATCCTTTGATAAAATACTATTTACTTCATTTAATGAAGGATTATGCTGGTTCTTAATAGAAATAGAGGGTAAAATTAGAAAACAAAAGAACAATTGAATTTTGCTTTGAATATTTATTAAAATATGAGTATTATGAAATATTTATCAGGTCCTTAATCTATTGAGATGATAGTAACTATCCTACAATCAATTTCGATTATGGTTCATTTTGGTTAGACCCTTCTATTAAACTTAACAGATAATGTTATTTGGACAGTAACAATTGGCATATTTCTCTGTACCGTTATGATCATTAGAGCACATGATGGACTTGAGCTAAAGTGTTGATTACTTAAATATCACTCGATAATTCATCCTACTTCGCATGTTTATGTGTGCTCGATTCCTATTAATAGCCTTTGTCTTGCCTCGTTGTACGTTGATTCGATTTGACTATAAATTTGCCTCTGTACTTGCTCGCATATACATATTCATCTCTCTGATTTAAATTCGTTCGGTGTGCTTATAGCTTTGTGATTCGTGCTATCCGCTAATAAACTGTAGTTGCCGTTTCTTATGGCCTTCTGATTATAAACACCGTTGAGATTTATATTATAACGGTTACAAGGGTGATTGATTAACGAAGCAAAGCCATCACAATTTTTCAGTTATATTTCTTTTAGCTGATATCAAGTAATCGTGAAAGTCATTTATACATCATCTAAATTAACATATATCTTGTAATACACAGGTGTATACGACCATGTATTTAAGTGTCGAACCTATGAACTTTTGATCTTATGACAAGTGATCAATCTGTCATATACATTCAACTTGGCTTTAAGATATATCTGTTTAGACTGTCACAATCACGTCACTATAGAGAAAAGAGGTAGTAACGAGTTGAGAAAGAAAAAAAATACAGAAACTAATTTAATCTCTAATGGGAATCTAAATGTAAGAAACAGTTAAGAAGGGAGAATCAAATATTAAGAATATTGTTTAACTAATTAATTAGAGGGAAGAAGGAAATTCATGCAACTTTCCAAGTCCTAATTATTTTAGTCTATAGTAAACAAACTTATGACAAAGCAGAAAATATACGTAAAGTATACGAATCTCATTGAATATAGCACAAAACCAATGAGATATAAAATGTTTCAACATTCTTAAGAAAATGGTTTTTTATTATTATAGAATAAAATATTTATGGCGAGACTATGATCATTTAGATGTAGGATGACAAGTCTCAGATTTTGACACGAAATTCACTCATCCATTTGGATAAATAGAGTTTTAGCATTGTAGCTAATGTCAGTTCGTGATGAAAATCCGAAATCTAATTCCTAACCTTAATCATCAACTGCACATCATAATTCGAATTCTTCACTTTATTACTTACTTACTTACTTACGCCTGTTACTCCTCGTGAAGGAGCATAGGCCGCTCACCAGCGTTCTCCATCCAACAATTCATGGTTTTCATATCTGCTTCTATTATCCGACGCAATGTGTTCTTTGGCCTTCCTCTTTTTCGCTTCCCTTCAGGATTCCAAGTTAGGGCTTGCCTCGTGATGCAGTTCGACGATTTGCGTAATGTATGTCCTATCCATTTCCATCGTCTTTTCCTAATTTCTTCAGCTGGAAGTTGGTTTGTTCTCTCCCACAGAAGGCTGTTGCTGATGGTATCCGGCCAATGGATGTTGAGTATCTTGCGTAGACAGCTATTTATAAATACTTGTACTTTCTTGATTGTGGTTGTTGTAGTTCTCCAAGTTTCAGCTCCATACAGTAGAACTGCCCTGACATTCGTATTGAGATTGGGGCATGGGGTTAGCGCCCCATCCCGTAGAAAACTAACTCGCTAAAAAAACGCTTACCAGAAAAAATAATCCAAACCATTTTAACTCTGCTCTGGTTGTTAGAAGGCACATTGGTTTATAACTTTCATTAAGTCCTAGTTAGTAGATGGACATTGTCAAGGTCAGTTTAGCGTCACTCATAGGTCGTCCATAAATTATAGTCTCATGAATATTAAAAGTGTATAAACTAACTTGTTTTAAACAACTTCTTAAACGATTCAAATTAGCTTTACGTGTTTTTATTAATTGCTTATTTTGCATTTCAATTTGTTTTCTAGTTATATCACGAAGTTCATTAACATTTTCTGATTGCCATTCTAAATGATCTTGTTGTGATTCAATTAAATCACATATTCTTATACAATAGGCTGATAATTTACCAATTACATCTATCAATGGATTTATCCAACTGAAAATGAATTAAAATAATACAAATAAGATAAATTTTAAATGATGTAATAATCAACAAATATGTATTTAATATCAGATGGTTGTTGTGGATATTATAGTAATTTCGATGGTTAAGATTATGAGTCAGTTGAAGTTAGACCATCATGGAAAACTTGGAAGCACTGGACGGCCGTTTCGTCCTAGTATGAGACTCCTCAGAAGTGCAAATCCACGACCTCGCTCCCTGTGGGATTCGAACCCAGGGCCTACTGGTTTTTCGCGCGAGCACTTAACCACTAGACCACTGAGTCGGCGAGGTCGTGGGTGAGCACTGCTGAGGAGTCTCACAATAGGACGAAACGGCCGCCCAGTGCTTCCAGGTTTTCCATGGTGGTCTAGCTCCAACTGACTCATGATCTTAACCATTGAAATATGTATTTATCAGTTTATGGAGGTTGTTGAATGTTATTGAGATCATGAATCAACTACAATCTTTGGTGGTACCGTGAATAAGTACTATTAAGAAGTTTTATACCAGGACCAAACAGTTAACTAGTGATACCAGGTTTTCAGTGATTGTCTAAATTGGGTCAGCGAAATGAATACTTAGTTGAAGAAGTTCTGTGGATATAGTGGAAGTGAAGTAGTCGTCATTAGTGAGATTGGATCATCTTCGTGCTTGAATACATACTGATTATATTTATAATTCCAGTGGTTAGGCGTTCACCACGAGTCGTGTGTTGTACTGTTTAACTGTCTCACACAAGGATGAGACAGTTGTTCAGTTCTTCCTTGTTTTTAAATAGTACTCCACTTAAAATCAATTTGTAATTAATACAACCTTAGAATTATACATAATTAATAACAGACATAACTAAAATTCATAAGTTCGAAATAAATTAATAAGAAACTAATATATCCTTATTCCCGTTCTAATTACGTAAGAATAGTCTAGCCATTTAGATATTTAAAATATTTAAAAGTAATAACAAAACTATTTAAGATGGAAATGATCAGGATTCTTCACAGTGGCACAGATCCATTTACTTCTCGATCTTCAATCAAATACCGAGTTTCAAAATTATTTTATGCTTATTAATTCTACTAATTCATACAAACTTTTCGAATCATATTGTCTACAGCTTATTTATGACTGACTGGCTGACTAAGATAAAATTAATATATCCTCGTGAACGCTTATTATAATGTTAGTTAACGATGTTCAAGTTGAAGTGCTCACCCGTATTAATCACTAGTTGATTAGAATTAGACAGGCAGATTATTAGATTTAGACTAAATGGAGCCTAAGCTTAATGCACTACCTACTAAACAAAACGGTCAATTGTTCTATCAACTTTAAGGTATCGAATGTACATTATTGATGAATCCGTGATAAAGTTAAAACATATGTACACTTTCCATTCAGAACTTCCACTAGGTAAAAGAACGTGTAAGAACCTAAAACAGCTAAAATGTTATTTTGCTTTGAATTAGAATAGATCAGCAGTGCACACGCTTAATTCTATACTTGTTTGAATTTAGGGATTTTAAGTCTCGAAATTTCTGACAAGTTTCAAACTAGAACTGCCTATGAAACAAGTAGTTTATTGTATTTTCAATTACTTTCCAGCTGATAGCAGTTCATGACGAAATTACTACCAAATTTAAAATTCTACAAATCATTCAATTAAAATATTAGTTTTGAACTGGAACAAAGTCGCTCTTAAGACCGATAGGTACTGGGTTCGCATCTGGCGAGGAGGGATCATGGATGCGCACTGCTGAAAAGTCACATACTAGGACGAAATGGCCGTCTAGTGCTTACAGGTTTTTCATGATGATCCAGCTTCAATTCACTCATGAATTCAACTAATAAATCTTATTTGTTAGAAAGTTTGGATTATTTTGTTGATAATATTCAAGATTGAATTTTGATAAAAAATATTATGTACGCTGAACAATTAAATAGGTATCTGGACTCAGTAGTTAAGTGAATTATGAGCTGACATTTTGAGCATGAGCTACTAGGTTTTAGTTTCAATATACTAGTCAGCAGTGGGATACAGTTACATTCCTATGGTGAGCTCTAAAACAAAATAAAAACCATATTTCGTTTTCTACTACTTGACACAATACATCTATTCTATAAAACAGTCTTATTGTTTAACGAATAAACTGCACGAATAATTAATAATATACTTTAATTTGTGTGCAAAAAACAAGCTTGTTTACTGATTTAAGAAGTGGCCTTGACCTTCTAGATACTTTTAAAATTACATCAAATTTACTGACAAAGTACATAATTATTCGATTAAATTGTGTTACATAACCCGTAGTTTTACTGGATGCTTCTGGGGTGTTTCTAGTTTATTCTGATTAAGAGAGACATTTTTAACCTTTTCCCTGATTCTGGAGACTTTACCAAAGAATTTTTGACAGCTTCTAACAATATTTATCAGTATGGGGTTGTGGAGATTATTAAGTTTTTGATTAAGATCATGAATCGATTGATCATAGACAACGATTAAAAAACCTGGAAGCACTGGATGGCCGTTTCGTTCTATTAAAGAACTCAGTAGTGCGCATCCACGATCCCGTGCACGAGATTCGAACCCAGGCCCTATCGATCTCGTGTTCGATCGCTTATCTCTAGATCACTGAGCTGGCATCCAACAATTTCTAGTTGCAATAGTTTTCAGAATAAAAAATGGACCCTTTGAACTGAAAATGGAAAAAGTAATAATAATAATAATTACCTCTTGATAATTAAAGTATTCTCAGTTAAATTTGAAATTCTTCCATTTTGATTCAATGTTTTCAATGGATGGAATAATTTTGAATGTAATAATGATGAAGGAATTTCAATTTCTTGATTAGATATATTTAATAATTTACTAAAACGATTACATTCTCGATTACCAAATTTAATTATTCCATAAATAGTATTATTAAATAAATGAATTAATGAATCATAATCATGATGTAATTGATGTAAACAAAAGTGTAAATGTGATAATTTATTTTCATAATTATCAATAAGCTGTTGATAATCTTTATGTTTTGACAATTGTACATTTTTATTATTCATAATTGACTAGAAAATAACAAATAACAATTATTATAACTTTAATAGTTGAGATCGTGAGTCAAGTGAAGCTAGGCCATCAAGGAAAAACCTGTAAGCACTAGACGACCGTTTCGTCCTAGTATAAGACTCCTCAACAGTGCGCATCTATGATCTCACCTTGCCAGATTCAAATCAAGAATCTATCAGTCTGGTGCACGAACGCTTAAATTCTAGACCACTGAGCTGGCTGGCATCCAACGGTGTTAATGTCTAACTTTAACTAATTCACGAAATCGTTCCACCGTACGGCATTGTCATCAGTGAGCTGATATCTCACAACAGACCTGGTTAAACTTCACTGGTCACCGCTTCTTACTAGAACTCCAGGATATTCATCTTATCAATTTCTTATACATGCCTAATGACTTATAGAATAGAAAACTAAACCGAAAAGCTATCACTTTTAGTTTTTAACTGTTCAAGATTGATTAGAAAATAAGTTAATATTTTCGCTTGATTTTGACTCTCGTCGTTGTATATAACAATCAGGATTGAATAAATATTATATTTTAAAAATAAAAATGACTATAATCTTTTTTACAAACTAATTTATGTATTAGCTTAGCACTGATGTATCATAGGTAAGAAATGCACATTATAGATATGATTGCCAACCATTGTTTAGAACAAGTTATAACCTTTAAACCTGAAGCGAAAACTATTTTAAGAAAAAATAACTAGCCAAAATGCTATTTGTCTCAGGTACACAGTCGGTTCTTTCAGTTTATATGAACAAAATCTTGCTAGCGGTAAATAGTGAATATGATTTAATTATTTGAGAAAAATGATTATCACTGGTATTTATATAGGACTGTAAACCAATACATTATGAAAGAAAGATTCATTTACTTTAAATATTACACCACTTTTTCTTCCAGTTCTTTGGTTTTACTAATTATTCATGAACTTACATTAGTACATTTTCAAATTTAACATTACTTGACAGTGATCTGGTCTGAAGATGTTGTATTATCATTCTGCCTAACATATTCAGTGCATACTAAATATAGAAGTGGGCCTTCTATTCGTTCCATAGGTGTTGTATTAGTTTATTCTGATAACATTTTTGTTGTAATCGGCTGTATTTGTAGTTTTTGTTGGCTTTATTTGTACTTGTGTTCTCGTTGATTGTCTTTGTTGGTCAATCTCTGTCCTTGTGACTGATAAGCCTTTTTCGTAAAGGTTCATAGATAGAATCTATGTCTTTGTATCTATGGATTGTTAACTATTCTAAATGCCAACCTACTAGAAGTCCCATAAAATTCTTAGAGTTTCTCCAATCCAAGGCTAGAGGTCGACCAGCAAAGATAGTCAGCGTCAGTAGATTGATGAATAAGCACAATAAAATCTATGTAGGAGGCCGACTACAAATAAGGTCATCAGAATGAACTTATGTAATACTCGTGAAATAACTGGAAAGCTCACTTTTACATGAATTAGACACAGAAAATGTTGGCCAGGATGATAATGAAAACCTAGATATCAATCCATCTTTCTCAAAGGACATAACACTACTGAAAGAATTCACTTGAGCCATCATTTTGTTTAAAAATCTATCTACAAGTGAATATTTTAATAAATACAATAAATATGGATCATGGAGATGATTTATAGATCATATGGATGATCATATAGATCATTGTATTGTTTGTCCTCTGTGAAGTGCTGATGATGTTGACCAGAACGACCATGAAATGATTTGAACTTAAACCTTTGAGCTCAGATGACCGAATACAACATTAAAATATGTACAATTTTTAACAGTATAACTTATTAACTAAACATGTAACTTACATCGAAATATGCAGGACTAGTCTCTGTAGATTTATTAACACTCGTTAAATATTTCAAATTCGAATTGTTATTCATATTAACAATCGGGAAGTTAGTCGACGGAACCTTAGGCTCAGAAGAAATATCTTTCAAATTGTTTGATTTTTGACTCTCTTCATTTGATCCTATTGGTTTTAAGCATATATCAGTTTGTATTTGTTGATTACAGAATTGTTTCTGTTGTGTTGAATTATAAATACAATTTTCCAATGTATTGATATAACACTTAAGTTGATTGTTCAAAGATTCATTACCCTATTTATTAAGCAATAGGGAATTAAAAATAAAGCATTGTTAATACAATCGTTTCAGAAAATACGCATATACATGTATCCTACAGTATATTGAATAATGCATATCTAAAGATTACCTAAAACCATTACCTAAAACCTTAAGTTTAACTATTAACAGAACTCGTTGTAAACTATTCTTTTTTACTTACAAATAAAACTTGTCAGTTTAATGATGTCTGTCAATCTGATTAGACAAACTAGTTAAACATGCAAAGTTGCACACACTAACTGCAAAATTAAATTACTAAACAGTTAATTAATCAAATAATTGCAATTTAATATCAGAAAAAGGTTTTTGTGGATATTATAGTAATTTTAATAGTTGAGATCATGAGTCAGTTGAAGCTAGACCACCATGGAAAACCTGAAAGCATCGAACGGCCGTTTTGTATTGTTGTGCAACTCCTCAGCAGTGAGCATCTACGATCCCGCCCCGCGGAATCTTAACTATTAAATTACAATTTAATTTAATTAGGGCCTAGAAAACTTTAACATGATAAACAATCCTGAAAAATGTTAAGTCGTCACCATCAATTCATGTGTACAGAAATAAATAAGTGTATGAAGTATAAAGAAACTATAACCATCTTTTTAAGCAATGTCAGCAATACACAGTTCAGATTGAAGTGAGTTATTTGAATTTCCCCACATGAGATCGTGATTTTGATTAGTTCTCGTTGGCATTTGTCTTGTTATGATCAGAGAAGAGTTTTGTGGATATTATATTAAATTAATAGTTGAATTCATGAGTCAATTGAAGCTAGACCACCATGGAAAACGTGCAAGCACTGAATGCCGTTTCGTCCTAGTATAAGACTCCTCATCAGTACGCATCCATAATCCCACCTTCCCAGATTCGAACTCAGGGCCTGTCGGTCTCGCGCGCGAACACCTAACCTCTAAACCACTGAGCTGACGGGCATTCAACGATGTTAATGTCTAACTTCAACTCATCCACGAAATTGCGCCACCTTCCACCATTGTCATCAGTGAGTTACTATCTTACAACAGAATTCAAATAATCAATATACAATATAATTAAATGAAAGTAATAACTATTCGACTAACTTTCAAATCGATTTTTAATTTTTCAATTTCTACTTCATGATTCCTCTTCAATGTTTCAATATCTGTATCATATTTTAGTTGGATTTCATTTAGTTTACTTTTATGATCTTTTAAATTTGTTTGAATTTCCATGAATTCACTTTCCTATATTAATTGAAAAAAACGTATTATACATTTAAATGTTAATCAAACTTTTAAGTGTAAATCTATAATTGAAGTGATTAGTTGAAGGATAGGGTGTCATATCAAAATGTGTAGAAGAATCAAAACCGATGAAGGTTAATTTATACTACGGTAAAACTTTCAGCCTATTCTGTACTCATAGATGAACGTTACGAAACGATAGGTTTTGTAAAACATCATGGAACGTAAAATTCTATCACTGATATTAATTTATAAGAACGTTTTTGTAGGAATTAGGTCTTGGGAATATGGAAGACATTTAATTTAGAAATTATGTCGGGGATTGAAATTTAAACAATTTCAAAGTTTCACCAGGCAAACTATTCCGAGTTTCTCTAGGAAATTAATCAATTAAATATGTTCAATTTTATCTGAAATAATCGACTACTTCCCTGAAGAAGATTGCACCAGTTTCACTTTTGTTCGGTTTCTTTTTTTGTGTATTATACTATATTACTTATTAAAATTCAGTAACTGAAGATTATCAATCACTTCGGAAACATTGATTTTATTGTATTGTTATGTTTCTAAGTATTTACATAATCTGTGACTTTCAATTCGTATATTCTCGCAACGGTATTTTTTCAATATTATTAACAAATCATAATTATTCTTTTGTATATTCACTGAATATTTATTTAAGTGTAACAATTTCCATATTCAAAATGTATAGTTCTCATTTTATTCTGTTGCTTGCTACAGTTGAATTTGACACAGATACTGACTGTTACTTAGTCATCGTATGTTTCTTATAAGTTATTTCTTTATAACTATTTGAAGAAGAGTCTGTTTCCTGATTGTGTGAACTCCTTGGAAATCTCATGAACTGTTGTACGTAAAATGCATTGCTTACGTTGTCATTATTAATATATATCATAGATAAATACTTTGTTTCAATTTTAGATTCTACATATAACTCAACTTTTTGGACTGAGATAAACGTATTAGCTTCGATATATGTTGAAATGACCAGTATATTATAATTCACAAGAATGAGTTTGTAAGCCAGCCGCATTATGAGTATAGTAAGGGGAAAGAAGTGATGTAACTAACTAGATCAAATTTTTGGCCGAAGATTATGTAATGCATGAAAATTTTATGAAATAATTGAGAGATAAGAAAGTGAAGTGGTTTATTTCGCTGGACATCTCATTTCAACCATCTGAAGTTATTCATTTCTGTCTCCTAGGAACTTGTCAGTGTAGCAACCTCAACAAGCTGGATGAAAAACACAAATCAAGGGAAAGTTCAGGACTTGAAATGAAATCTCCAGTAGGAATTGTACTCTTACATGCAATACTCACTTATGAAATGCATAGAAAAATGCTCCTAATTATTAAATACCGCACAGCTATTGAAATGAATGGGTAATCTCATGTCCGTAAACCAAGCTAATCCGTTTTAATATCAAGTCGTAACGATCGAAATTTGACAGGAATTTATTGAAAAGTATATTTGTCGTTTAGATCTTTGTGTTTTAATGAAATCGAAATTCTAATGCAACTAAAGCTATGAAAATGACCTGCTAAATGTTTGAACTTGGCCCTTGTAAACCTAAAGTTGATTTTACTGTGATGTATTGAACCAGAACACAATTGGGGATAATCGGATGTATCTGAACACAAAATTATAGAACATCTTAGTAAAATCTGAGAACCATACAATAAATACTTCATTTACAAAATGTCAATCAATCATCTCAGACTTCAATGTTCTTTTGTTTCCACAACAATCATTTCTTGTTCTTGTTCTCTTTTTTATTTAATCTTCTTAACCTTCTACCACTAGGTATTTCATTTTCGATTGATGATACATACTACTTATATCTGCCAATATCAGTAGCACACATCACAGAATAACCGGCTAAAAAAATCCTAACTATATATTACTGAACACTTTCAACATGAAGTAAAATTGAATACTAGTAGTATTTCATTAATTTGTGGAAATTTTCAGCTGAAAAAAACTCAAAGGACAATCAGTGACTCATAAAAATCAGGTGATCAAATAACTTGAATTTATTGCATAAAATAATGAATCGTTTGACAACTAACTTTTGAAAACATTTTTGTTTACCTTAGATATCATTATTACATTTATAACTATAAACTAACTATTCAAATAAATATAACATAAATATATACTTTTGTTTGTGAGTTTGTACACTAATTTGTGCATTTGCATTCACAATTATAATCAATATTCGTTGATTTCGTTACCATAGTTCCCACTAATGAGATTATCACTTAACTGTAAAAAGCATTTCACACAATAATAATCGATATTTGTGCCAGTGAATTAACTATAAACAAGTTTATTTATAGACATAATGACTTTGCTGATAAATTTATTGGATACCATGGAATTTTATCACTTTTCATGGTAATCTGTATCTAATCTATTAAGATGTGTTTTGGTATTAATTCCTTAACAGAAGGGGTTTTGTGAAGATTTTAACAATTTGAATAGTTGAAATCATGAGTCAATTGAAGGTAGATCTCGCTAGAATCTTGCGGGGTGCGGGATCGTGAAAACGCACTGATGAGGAGTCCCATACTAGGACGAAACGGTCGTCCAGTGCTTGCAGGTTTTCCATGATGGTCTAGCTTCAATTGACTCATGATTCCAACTATTAAAATTATTAATTTCTTGTCAATCAAAACGTCTAAGTTTATTGAGAATCATCCGAAAAATTCTACTTAAAGAGCTTTTAAACGAGATTATCTGCAAATAATTTGATAATCTGTAATGATAGTAAAGCACAATAGTCAAACGTTTATTTAAGTGTAAATGTTAAGAAAATTGTGTAAAGATATATTGGTTTATTGGAAATTTTCTACAAACACATTGTCTGATTCCGTGAATCATGAAAAAAATGTGTGTTTATCAATATCAACATAAATCTGATCTGTCAAAAAATACGCAAAAACGTCAATTAATCAAATGATCACAGGTCAGTTGAACGAGACTGTCAATTTGAATATAAGAAGCAATGAAGATTTCTAATTACAAATAAGGCTACCAGAACGAACTGATTTAATGCTCATAGAATAGCTGGAAATTCCATGTTTACATGAAACTGACGTTGACGACGTTGTTCAAAACGGCAGTGAAACCGCTGCAGTTAAAGCATCTAGCTAAAAGAACTCAACATCACTAAAAGAATACACTTTAGCTGGAAATCTTCACTAGAACCTATTCGGATCTTGGTATTTGCACACTAATTTGTTCCAATTCAAGTAGAAAATAAACTTTATATTTGACTGTTAAGCAATTTAAATAAATTGAGTATTATTTTCATTGTGATATGATAGCAGTTAAAGAGAGACCACTAAGAAAGGAGTAATATTTGAAACAATCGGTCACTTACATTAAGTTTGATAATATGACTACCAAATGTATATATGACCAGATTGTTTGAAATGTCTAGTAAAACAACAAATTAAGTTTTCTAGATCAACTTTGACTTCTCACTAAACTATCGATAAAGGCAATTACCCAGAAGCTGTTTCATCTTAATCATAAGATTCTCCGACGGTGAGTGTTTTATACTAGATTGAAAAGTTGTATGATATTGTGACTTTTTAGGCTGATATCATAAATTGTTACATTCGAAACAAAGTAATGACAATGATTCAAATTAATATGAAATAACCACCTTCTCTTGTTTTGTTTTCAATAACTCACTATCCATTTTCTTTTGTAGTTCGTCTTTTTCTTGACTACTAATATTTAATTTGTGAGTAATATCTTGAAGTTGTTTACTGAAAAATAAATACACAAATAAATGAAATCAATAGTAGATCTGTATGGGTATCTTATCTTTTGTAACCGAATTCATTGTGGAAAGTATGAGAACTGCTAAATATATGTCTATCAGCATAAAAATTATTTATAATTGTGTTGTAAACGAGAACTCAGGTGGAGTAAACCAATTTATTAACTCAGGTAATGTTATATCTTCCTTCAGTAGTCCTTTACACAGTTCAAAATTCTTCTAATTCTGCTGTTATTATGATTACTGTCCGATTTCCTTCCTGTTCTCTTCATCTCAATCTTCTGGCAAGAATTTTCCTTCCGATTGTTGCTACATACTACTTATATCTGTCAGTATAAGTATCATGCACCACAATAACCTTGCTAGATTGTAAGTGAATGATGAATAAAGATTTATGAGATACATTTGTTTCACTTGAAAGTGCCTAGAAAGCTCTGTTTAGTTGACAGAAATAAGATTATACTAATTTGTACCTTCAAGAAGTAACTAGTTAACTCAGTGACCATCGTCTTCTATATGAAAGTGACTTACGTTTATTTGATACTATATTCAATCTGTTATAAATGTCTTCTGATAAATGTTCAATTGTCAGTTAAAATGTAACTATATTTTACAAACTTTAATCAAATTTGAGCTAGTATAGAATGATCTCATAAGATCGAAAGATTGATTCCTCACCAGAAGACATTAAATCTATAACAAAAAACCACCCACAAGTTATAAAAATTTCCCTTAAAAGTTCAAAATAAAATAATCCCTTAGATGTTTGTCAATACTTGATTTTAATTTTAATTTAACCAATATCAGTTAAATTTTTCGCTTTCGTCAAATTCTTCAAATCACTCCAAGAAACAAATGAAGCATCCTGTAGTTCTAAAGCTCCTAATTCAGTAACCGAATTCGATCAGCCAGTCAGCTACAACGTAGGACCTGGCACATATATACATCGGTTCAAGTTGCCATACCGCATTAACACAGCAAGATCAACATCAAATTCATAGAAGTAGTTAATTCAGGGGTGGTAATATATAAAAGAAACATTGCATATAAGAACATAGCACAGGAAGAAATAATTAGTACTTAGAAAGATATGAAGCGATTTTAATCTCATAGTTTGAAGGGAGTCAAAGAATGTATACACCTACATCATTGTGGTCGATTCTGAGCCATGTCACTAAGAGTCTCCAACCATTGGTTACAATAGTCACGCGGACCCCAACCAAGTAGTCTACATCTACCAACATGGCTCAGATTAGACGTCAATCACTTCAAGCACTGGTGCCAAGTTTTGGTTCGGCTGCCCCTAACTTTCTTCCAACCATCCTTAACAGCTGTTAGCATTGCGCGTCTTGGTAATCAGTGTTCAGGCATACGTAAGACGTGGCCCAACCATCTCAGTTGATCAAGATTTACAACCTCATCAATTGATTTACCATCATTCCCTAATACCCTGAGTCTAACCTCGCTATTACTTATACGATGGTCCCAGCAGATGCTGGCAATATTTCTAAGGTATCTGTGATCAAATACTAGTAGCTTACAAGTAACTTCAACTCTCAATGACCACGTTTTGCATCCGTAAAATAAAACGGAACGAACTGCCGCTCAGTTTACTCAATCACTGATCAATATAACCCAGTATACTATGCCAAACAAAATCAAACTGATAATTCAGTATTAAAGAGTTTTGAAAAATAGTATGAAGATGGGACTTAATTACTTACCAGAGATATTCTTTTTCACATAATAAATCATGAATTTTATTTTGACTTATTCTTAAATGTGTATTTAATGTATCAATTTCATATTCAGATTTTGTAGATGCTTTCGAAGTTCTGTCTGATAGGTCGGTTATTTCTCTTTGTAATTTTACAATTTCTAACTCATGTTGTTCATTTTCTTCCTGATAAAAGAAATCGTATTCGAAAAATTACTGTCGGTGTGGTGTGTGCTACTTATGTTGACATAAGTAGTAAATAACATCAATTAGGAACAGGATGCCTGGCAGCAGAAAGTTGAAAAGATATAAAAGGAAAGAACGGAAACAGAAAGCAATTGGTGTGGAAACACAGGAGCAATGAAGTTCGAGACAATTAATGAACATTTTGCAAACGAAGTACTGGAGTATGTTTTTTTATTTTATCAAGTAACTCTGTAATTTTGTGTTATCACGTAATTGGTTGTCACCACGTGTGTTCTCATTTGTGGTGATTATTGGAACTGTAAACAATTTATATAAAAAGTGACCTTAGAAAACCAAGAAACCCTAACTTCTATTTTTGCCTTAGCATAGGTTTCCTCAGAAATGAACAGATACAACTAACTTACATCAATTCATGATGTAAACTATTAGTATTTGAAATAATGCAAGTTTGATTAGTGAATCTTTCAGATATATTTGGAGTGAGTGAGCTGCTCGAGTGACATTACAGTCAAATATATAGGTATTGATCTTCTGTCAACTAAATTCGTCTATTATTCCGCTTGTTCATTCAGTAAATAATGTACATTTGGTTAAATAGAGCAATTAATTTTCATAGTTCATTCCCTTTGCTATTAAATCGTCTTAGACTTTTATAGAAAAATAAGAAAGAATTAAGTTTCTATCTTACTACAAAACAACTGTGAACCTAACAACATGTTACTGGAAAAAGTAGTTAGTGAAGTATTTTCGAAAATATAATCGACATATGGCTACAAGCAACATTGTGGTATCCAATCATGGAATCCATGTTCTAACAGACGTTATATTTATCTCGTCCTGAATACTGGCAATGGGAGATGACAAAACCGTAGAACTGATTATAAATCTGATACTCATTAAACAAGTAAATAGTCATTATGGCTCAATGATTGACTGAATAAAGCAATGGTGGACTAGGTCCCAATTTTAATGTGTGCACTACCATTGAAATATAATTACATTCAGTTGGCAACTCTTGAAATTTGAGATTACTAGATATTCAGAATAGAATTAAAATGTGCTATTTCATTAGAAGTCTATAAAAATCCCATAATCAGCATTTTACATAAGATTTCTCTTGTCCTAAAAACCAGAGACTACAGTATAGCATATGAGAAATTTTAGTATAATGGCAAATAAACCGACGAGCTGACGAGTACCAAATAACCCGAGATCAATGTCTAAGGTTCCATGTCAACTACCCTCAGTTATCTAACCCACAATAAATGTATCTTATATACTTGGATGTTACTAATGTGGATTAATTTCTTTAGTTATAATTGTAATTTGGTTATAAGGTTAAATGACTCGATATTAGAAATCAGTATGTCTTATGCTACTTGGTTGAATCAAATGACAGGAGGTTCTGAGTATAGGTTTCGTGCTTTCTGGTAGACGTTAGTATTTACTTACATTATCATTTACTAGATGATAAATTACCTCTTAAAGAGGCTTCCAGATCTAACTCTTGTATGAGCTGAAATAGATTTCAGTCCATAGGAAATCGTGTTTTTCATTATTGATAAGTACAAACTGGCACTTAATGTAGTTTTAAAGTTTTATTATTAGTTACCTTTAACCAATTAACAAACAGACTAATAAGATTAGGAACTTTATTTATTTTGAAGGTCAATTATGTTTTCCTTATTCTTAATTATGAATTAAATTAAATTCATTTGATATTGTTTGTTTGAATCTTTCCATTGATATTTAGGACTACAATTGATCAGTCTCTTATTGGCATATGTGCATACTATTTGTATTGCATCGATATAGCCTTAATTCACAAGCATTAAATACAAAGATGGATAGTAGTTAGCTGTGGAATCCAGTTTGACGCGCGTTTCGTCCTATTTAGGACTCGTCAGCTGAATGTGCCTGCATCTGAGACTTCATGTTTTCATAATGGCTTTAAAAAAGTTTTCTTCTATTGATATTATTTTGATTAAAGTAATGTTAATACTTTCCATTTTCTATCACTTTAAAGATCACATGTCATATGTATAGATTGACCTTAGTTACTTCAAAATGCCATAGTAACGCATAATTTATCTATAGTTATTCTAAACTATTAAAATATGCATTTCACTGGAAAAAAAACAATATACATGTAACTGTGTATAATTGTTCCTTTTATATTCTACATTCACATATTTTAATCTGCTCTTTTATTTTTTTTGTTTATTTTACCCTCCATGTAACCAAATTGTTAATTTAATTCTACATTAACAAAAAACACAATATAAATATTCAATGGTTGGTTACTTTTGTGGTTGAATAACAGTAAATAGAAAAAAAACAAGCAAACGGAAATGTTAATATGAGGAGTTTGTTTAGTTCTAGAAAAATTACATGCATGGTGTAAATGGGGAAATTTTAAACTAATTTAATACATTTCCACAACCCTACCCCCCCCCCGTCATTAAAGACAAATATAAGATCTATGGATCTTGTAGAGAGCTCTCAACCTTCAAACCATTTTTAACTTCAGTCAATTCACTCGATATTAGGCAACTACAACCCTTACAGCTAACATAGTTGAACTTTGATTACTGATGTAGCACTAATCCACCTGTGAGAAATAAGGCTTAAAACGTTTAAAATGATAGCAAAAAATTACTTTTTGGAAGCATGGAACAAAAATAATAATGTCAGCCGTATAAAATGCTTAATCCTGTCTCTTTAGATTGTATGTAACAAGCCAATCAGCAATATCCTTAAATCTTAATTATAAACCCTTAATTCAGGAACAAACTTTAACCTAGTTGGACTATATTTTACAGAATAACTAATCTGACAGTATTTCTGTTCAACATGTATACATCTATAGCTAATATTAATTCACGATATTAACCCTAACTCCTAATCCTTACCGTAATTATCTAACGCTAATCAAGAACTGCATGAAGACTCTTAAAATCTGTATTGATTCATCATAGGGTTTGAGAAGATAGATAATTTTTGTCTATCAAGACAAGTTTATCTGTTGTTGTTTTTCTCAATTTACAATGAGAGTAACTTGTAAACAAAAATGTATTTTGTAAAATTTGTTTTACAATCTAGAGTATTACCATTTTCTTTTCAATAAACTTTCCATCTAAGAAAGTTGCTTAGTGATTATTATTATTAGTGGCTTTATTCAATATTATATTTTTTGGTACAATATGGAATTCTCAGTACAAAGTATTTCAACAAGTTGCCTTTTCTTCTTTCTTGATCAATTCTTGCGATAAATATTGAGTGATCACCAGTTAGAGAAGTTAGCTGTTCAGAAATCTCAATTAATTTCATTAATATTAGTGACAAAATAAAACTTACTTTTATTTTCTGATCATAACACTGACCAATCATATTCATTTCATATTCTTTTTGTTTTAATTCCTCTTTAAGGGAATTTATTTGACTTTTAAAATTTAGTATTTCATTTTGTAATTGTTCATTAACATATTTAATATCATTCGCTTTATTGATTCGTTCTTGAATTTCCTATAATTCAATATATAAATATTTCATATCAGAAGGGTTTTTGTGGATATAATAGTAATTTCAATGGTTGAGATCATCATTCAATTAAAGCTAAACCACCATGGAAAACCCGCAAGCACTGGATGGCCGTTTCATCCTATTGCAGGACTCCTCAGCAGTGTTCATCCGTGATCCCGCCCCGTGGGACTCGAACCCAGGACCTATCAGCCACGCGCGCGAGCGCTTAACCACTAGACCATTGAGTCGGTATCCAACGGTGTTAATGTCTAACTTCAACTAATCCACGAATTCGAGTGACACATCCACCATTGTCATCAATGGGTTACTATCTCACAACAGACCTGGTTGAACTCCACTGGTCACTTCTTCTAACTAGAACTCCAGGAAATGCCTCTTGAAGTCAGTCATTAGTGAGCACATGTTTTGTGGATATCGTATTAATTTAAATGGTCGAGATCATGAGTCAGTTGAAGCTAGACTACCATGGAAAACCTAGAAGCACTGGACGGCCGTTTCATTCTGTTTTTACACTTTTCAACAGTGCGCATCTACGATATAAATATTTATAAATATGACCTTTACTTTATTGCAATAATCATAGTACTAAATTTCTACTGTTCTTAGTTAGTTATGTAATAATTATTAGAATTTTTATATTTTTTTCGAAAATGATAAGAACCGATTGGTAAATTAGTTACTAAACCATAAATATAACATTGATGCTATCAAGGTGAAACATATTCGTTAATATCGTAGTGAAGAATTGAGAAGTATTGGTTGTTTTCTAATCTCAATTCACTTTGTTAATTATTAATTATGGGGCCTGTTATACTGTCTTATTTGAACATGTTGACTATAAACGATATGTTTTGATTCCATAATCTGTTCACAACGAAGTAACTAGTAGTTTTCAGTATTGTAGTTTATGTAGAGTGTTAAATGTAATTACAGGATTGAATTTAGGTATATAAATCATTGGGTAGCGGCTCGGTGGTCTAAAGGTAGGCTACTGTCACGAGACTTGAAGGTCCTGGGTTCGATCTTCAGTGGAGTTGTGAATGGATACTTCTAGGAAGTTCAATAATAGAATGAAATATCTAACTAGCGTTTCCTGGTCTTCAATGTTTGTCCCATTTAAACTGATCTGTACTCTCAGTAATTAGTAGTTCCTTCTTTACAGTTCATTTTGTTTGAGATTTTCAATCAATTCTATGAGGGAATTGTTATTTTAGCTATTCTAGTCATTTCATTCTATTTGTATTCCCGTCTTTTTATGTCTTTGATTTTAAGATACTTTATACAAAGTTTAAACTATCATGTACATTTTTAACTACTTTCGAATAGATACAAATGTTTATAAACCAGAATTATTATCAGTATAACGTTGTTGAGATTGTTGAGTTTAGGTTGATATCATGAACGAATGAGTGCTAGACAACCATTGAAAACCTGGAAGCACTGGATGGCCGTGTCTCTTGTGAGTCAGTTATTCACTAAAGACAATGGTGGACGATCGTGCAATATTGAATTCTAGGCGGCCTGTTTGAATATCTGGGCTACCTGTTCCTACCATCTGGATATTTTAACAAATTATCCATTTTCTTGTTTGTTTTAACACATCATTATGCCCATTAGTCGCATAATCTATTCAGAAGCGTTTATGACAAGTTTACGACAATTCGCGGTACAAGTTACAGAAGGGTCCAATCAGAGACACTGTGGATGCTAGCAATATGCATCAAAAAGAATGTACATAATTCAAATATCAATTCCTGAACTGCTAACTTCTCTAACTGGCGATCACTCAATATTTATTGCATGGATTGATCAAGAAATAAGAAAAGGTAACTTGTTGAAGTACTTTGTGCTGAGAATTCTACATTGTATCAGAAATATAATATCGAATAAAGACAATAATAATAATAATAAAATCGTACATTGTTGAAGTAAAATATTAAAACCATTGGACGTCAGCCCAATGTTCTAGAGCTTAAGTGTCCGCACGTGAGGCTGAAGGTTCTGGGTTGGAGTCCCACATGCGGGGGTCGTACATGCTCATTGCTAAAGAACTATTATATATAAACTGGTTGTGAATAGTCGGTACATTATAATCTAACCAGATATCATATTTCATTAATACAATGAAATGATAATTATTTAATATTATTATTCAATATATTTCATGCTTATATCAATTCATTTGAAACTTACTTCTTCTAATTGTTTAATTTGTTTTTGATAAAATCTCTTATCTGCATCATATTCAGATGAAGTTAATTGAAGTTGTTGACTTAATTCAAAACGTGCAGCTTCAACTGATTCATATTTTAATCGATATTGTGTAGATTGTTCTTTTTCTCTAATTAATGCAATGCTCTATTTGAAATAAAATATTAAATTTAAATCAAATAAAAATATCAGAATGAGTATTGTGGAGACTTTAGGAAACTTCACAAGTTGAAATCATGAGTCAATTGAAGCTATACCACCATGGAAAACCTGGAAGCACTGGACGGCCGTTTCGTCCTAGTATGGGACTCCTAAGCAGTGCGCATCCACGATCCCGCCCCCTCCGCGGGAGTGGAGTTCAACCAGGTCTGTTGTGAGATATTAGCTCACTGAAGACAATGGTGTTCGGTGGCGCAACTTCGTGGATTGATTGAAGTTAGACATTAACACCGTTGGTTGCCGGCTCAGTGGTCTAGTGATTAAGTGCTCGCGCGCGAAGCCGTTAGATCCTGGGTTCGAGTCCTGCGGGGGGCGGGATCGTAGATGCGCGCTGCTGGGGAGTCCCGCACTAGGGCGAAACGGCCGTCCAGTGCTTCCAGGTTTTCCATGGTGGTCTAGCTTCAAATGACTCATGATTTCAACCTTTGAAATAAAAATATATTACTTAATTAAAAAGTTTACTATGAAAAAGGTTGAAATTTGATACAAAGATAGAAAGAGTAAATAAATAGTAATTTAATAGTTGACTTCATGATCCAATTGAAGATAGACCACCATGGAAAACCTGGAAGCACTTGGTGACCGTCTCGTTCTATTGTAAGACTCCTCAGCAGTGCACATTCACGATCCCGTCTCGCGAGATTTGTACTCAGGACCTATCAGTCTCGCGGGTGATCGCTTAACCTCTAAACCACTAAGCCGACATCTAATAGTGTAAATGTCTAACTTCAACCAATCCACGAAACTGCGCTATCACTTTAAAATTGATTTTAACCTCTAAAACATAATGTCAGCTAGGGATAATCAAACATAAAATTCAGGTTAGATATAGCTAAACTATCTTTATTAGTGTTAATGTAAGATCTTACAGAGATCAAGTGCTGGTTGGTTACTTTGATGTTAACATGATATTATCTTACAAACGTGGGTATCAAATGAAGTAAAATGAGTTGTTTTTTAAACCTAAATGAATGGCAAATATAATGATATTTGACTTAATATTATGTGAACTACTTGCTACATTCAATTTAATTACAGCATGTAATTCATACTAACATTTTTTTATTTTTTAGTTGACAGATGAATAATCACCAAAGAATTCATCACTGAGGCAAAAGAAAAGTTATCTGTCCACAGAAACAAGACATATTTGTCTATAGATGTTTAGGTTCATGATAGAAAATGAGATGATGAATGATATTCGTAGGTTAAAGATGTTGGAAGTATTCTTTTTTCTTAAATGAGTGGATAGGACACACATTGAGGAAAGCACCCAACTCCATCACAAGACAAGCCCTCACGTGGAATCCTGAATGCCAAAGGAAAAGAGGAAGACCAAAGAACACATTACGCCGAGAAATGGAGATAGACATGAGAGAAATGAGCAAGAATTGGATGGAACTAGAAAAGAAGGCCCAGGACAGAGTGGGTTGGAGAATGCTGGTGGGAGTAACAGGCGTAAGTAAGTAAGTAAGTAAGTAAGTAAGTAAGTAAGAGTGGTTTATTTGTGAAGCTTAGCATTTTCACCAAACATCAATCATTAGACACATCAAAATCGACCCAATCTATCAGTCAGTAAGAAAAAGGATTACGAACTTCATGACCAGAGGAGAAAAAATGCAAACAATGACCACATAGTTATAAATAACAATCATCAGAATTATTGAATAACAGACTAGTTGTTAGTCAAATTTAGAGAAATTCCATTACCTCACCTCTTTTCGAAGTATGTGCTGATGGTGTCCAAACAGACAATGAAAACTTTGAGGCCAAACGATCTAACTCAGTGAACACAACTTTGATCAAATATAAAATTGTTGAATTATTGACAATATAATAAAGCTGTCATTTACCAACAAATGTCTCTAAACTATCAACTAATACTCGGTCCTTGAATTTTTCATGTAATTAGATAATGATTTAATCCTTGTTCTGACATCAAAAAATCAACGCCACTCTTCAATCAATACTTACTAAGTAGGGTGACATGGATTCTAGTTTCGAAAGGAAGACATCAGTGCCCTAGTGATTGTAGATACCCTTTACTGATAAATTGCGACCAGCACAAAATTTCTGTTTACAGATTACTACCCGTTGTATCTAACTGCATAACCAAAAATTATGGCACTTTGTAATGTAATTGCAAATTAGTAAAACTCCTTAAAATCAAGATTTTATCTTGATGGACAAACACTGGAAGAGGTAGAATCTTTCGAGTACCTGGACAGTATCATCGATGAAAAAGGAGAGTCTGATGCAGACGTAAAGGAGAGGATTGGCAAAGCAAGGACAGCATTCCTACAGTTTAAGAACATATGGAACTCAAAACAACGCAAAATACTTCAGATCCGTTTGCTAGACACTATCAGCAACAACCTACTGTGGGAGAGAGAAAACCAGATTCCAACAGAGGAATAAATCTGGAAGAAGAGCTGGAAGTGGATAGGACACATACTAAGGAAAGCACCTAACTGCGTCACACGACAAGCCCTCTCATGGAATCCTCAAGGTCAAATGAGAAAAGGAAGACTAAAGAACACATCACACCAAGAAATAGAGACATATATGAGAAGACTGAACAAATTACCTGTATACTTTTAAGTACAACTCATTGCATCATTTACACATACACACACACATACATAAATTACATTTATACAAATTTCTAATTTACTTGATTTGTAAGTATTTCTTCGAATTGTTGTGGATCTATTTTACATTCATTTTCTTTTATTTTATTTTGTTGTTGCTGCTGTTGTTGTCGTTGTTGTTGTTGTTGTTGTTGATTTCTTTCAAAATATTGATTTAATTCTATAATAGAATGTTCTAATGAACATTTACGTGCTTCTAAATAATGAATATATTTTTGTAACATATCACAACGTATATTTAATAAATTTGATTTATGTTGTATATTTTCAAACTTCTTGGAACTAGTTCTATTCGGTGATTTCATTTGATTATCATCATTTATAAGTTGGAATGTTTCCTAAAAGATGTTTTATAGAATAAATTATTGATCTATTATTATATTCTATAATAAAGGGTAAATCGAAGGTTTTGGCAATTAGGAAGTTTTCTTTGAAAAAAAAACAAAATAGATCCACAACTAGATTTTATTCTAGATTATTTGGTTCACTAAATACTCAGTATTGAATAAAATAGTATTAAACTAAGGAAGTAACAAGGATTGTCTTCTCTTCAACTTCTTACAATCTAGAAACATTAATAATAATGAAAGCAATGATGACTGGTGACTAATAAGTATCTCTAGCTAATAAGGTCCATATAGGATGAAATGCCCGTTTTAGATTCTACTGCTAACCAATATATATATATCTGCTTATAATGTTTGTGACTTAATGGTGGTATCAAGTCAACCTTTACAAGATGCATATATACTGAAAATGATTGATAAATTGTAGTCCTCAACATCAATGGGAATATTCAAATAACAAATACAAATGAAGCAGTTATAATTGTTTATAATTGATGTACATAACACGTGACCTAAGGCTGGTAAAAGAAACGACTACAGTTACGGAAGAATTAAAAAAATTAATAAAGTGGATGAATGAAAAACGTTTCAGCGAAGAAAATTCTTCTTTCAATGATATTATTTTCTAAAGCTGTATAACTGTATAAACTACCACTTTGACCCACCACAATGTGCATTTTCCAGTTAACGTGGCCGCTGTTGTGGAGCAGATTACACTGGCTGTACAATCCTTGACACTTCTGTGAAAGAGCTTCTTGTTAGAAAAAACAGTTCAGAGTTCTAGTCTATTTCATTTTGATTGACTTCAGTTTGAATAAGTCTGACCCCTCTGTTTTACTATAGAACACATGTGAAAAATTTCCTAAAAATATGACTGTATAGTTTCAGCAAATGATATCATTGAAAAGAAAATTTTCTTCTCTGAAACGTCTCGATTTTTCCTAATGAATATCTATGTTACTAAATTTGAAAATTCTAAAAGAAAAGTTTTAAAATGCATGGAGATATGTTTCTAGAAACTGAGAATTAATGTTAAGTTATATAATAACGACCATAAAACTGAATAGATCATCAGAGCTCAAAAGTGACCCCAGATTGCAAGAAAGTAATTTATTGTTGAGATTTTGGAACAAAACACTACGTAACTAGATACAGAAAAATAAAGGTTACCAGGATAGTGAGAAATTTACAATTATGTCCTATTGAATTATGGGTTTGGTTTTAACTCTTTAATAGCGATGGCCTAGGCGTAAAATAGTAAATTCGAAGTCATTTAAGTATATATTATTTTGAGCAATTTCACAACAACATTGTATACAGTATCAAACAGATGACTACCAATGGCACTGTGAACAACACGTCGATCTTTTTAGTGGAATGTGTTCCAAAATGAAGACAAGAACTCTCTTTTATATTGAATGTGAATTTATATATGACATAACTAAATGATTGAAATTAAAAAGTTCCGACATTACGTCTGGCATTCTAGTCAGAGAATCTCCAATGAAATTATCAAAATTATCAACGAAAGTCATAAAGGTCATAAAAAATCTATGTTAAACTCCTTTCTTGAGTCATATTCAACGTTTGATTTAATAAGAATTTAGTACAGAATTAACTTTAACCTAATTTGTCAGTGATAACTTTTATTATCTCCTTGGATAAGCTAGGATCAGAATGCCAGGTGAAAAGTTAGAACTATTTAAATTTCTATCATTCCGTATACAATCTTTAATAAATTCCAACGATGTTTTCACTTCAGTGAGACGAGCATTAAACTTTAGAAACTCATTGAGCACCTTAAATGCAATCGAATCCCCACGTAACTTCCAAAATTTGAAATATTCCCGTATTGTAAATTTAGAACATATTGTAAATTAGTTTATTACGCAAACTTTATATCAACCTACATCAATAATTCATTAAAATAACTACACTCTAGGTAAGTTTACTAATGGTTGTATTTATATAGCTAAGATGGAATTAAAAATAACGGAAGGCATATCTTATAAATAAACATATCTAACGTGATTGGACAGTGCGATAATTAATGCAACATTATACCTTATGGACGATAGCCGCACTCTGGTAAAAAGAGGCGAACTTTTTAAGAGAGCTTTGATGTCTCCAGAGAATAGACAATTAAATAAATAAACATTACAGTATGTTTTTTATTGTACAGGACAATAAAAACGATAGGACTGTTTATCAATTACGGGACATTGCTACACCACAATAATATTCTGACGCAAAAACTCATGTTAAGAGTGATAGGTGTAGCACTATTAAGAGATTATTTTATTGATCTAAATCAACTCACAAAATTAATTCATTGATATTCTGTTTTGTTTATTTAGTTTTTAAAGTGAAGTTCACCCAGTGATACCAGAACTGCTAGTATTTAGTTACCTTATCTTGTGATTAATCTGTCAGGGGGTAAATGAAAAAATACCTGATTAACTGAAGCTTTATCAACCTTTGATGAACAAAGCATATTCAGAATAATATACATACTACATGAATAACTTTCAATTGTACATTAAACATCATGATAAATCGTAAAATGTTGGCAACTAACCTTATATTCATCATTGCTATCATCATCTCCACCATCAGATAATAGAGCAGTTACATCATTATCATCTAGATCTCCGATTTCATCATCTTCATGTTTATTTTTATTAAGTGCAGTTGAACTTAAATTTTTCATATTAGGTTTTCTTTTTCTTTTTATAGGATAATTCAATGGTAATGAACGTAAATCAGTGAGAATTTGTTCAGCTTTTAATTGAATATCTTGACTTAGCTTATCTGATGGTTCACTAATTGTGACTTTTCTCCTGTCTGTATTTGAATCATCCATTGAATTTATTGTGTTATCAATAGTATTTGTTATATAATTTATAAATTTATTTGAGATTTCAGTTTTCTGAAGAAGAATTGATTCGTCTAACTTATTCAATTCATTGTCTGACTGACAACGATCCGATGAGTCCTTATTACTGATCAATAATGATTAAATAATAATATTCAAAAATGAAGAATAGAAACAATTCAAAATGTCATAATGAGTAGTTATGGAATTGATCAGTTCAAATGAATCTATTTGATTTGATCTGATATGACATAGACCGTCTCTTTATACAATGTAATTATAGGTTAGGTACTATTGTAAGGTTAAATAAAACTATACTAAAATATCAACCAATTAGATTTAAGGGATTTAATATTAAATTTATAAATTATTCAATTCACTTTTAAACAATTAAGTAGTTACTTTTATGAGATGGTAAAGATTTTTAGCTTCGGTGGATGATTTTGATGGAGTTTTGTGCTCTAAATTGGATGGTTTGATTGTGGAGTTTTCATCGTTCTTTTGAACGATATTATTAGCATCATGAAAAAACTATCCAGCTCAGAGAACAAAACTCTATGAAAAGCTACTTTTATCATTGAAAAATGCTAAACTATCTGGTAAAAACTAAAATTTACTTACAGTTGAACAGTTACATCACAAACTGAGACATCAGTAGTTAAGCCAGAGTCATTTGATGGTGATATTTCTGTCAAATCCTTGTTTGAAATGTCTGAAACCAAATCATTAATAATTAATCACTTAAATAAGAACTTTCGTCTAAATTTGAACGAATAGTTTCACAATATTTGGGTGCCGAGTTAATGTGAGTCATTAAAGAAGAAGAATGTATTTTTAAAATCTCACCGAACGAATTCGAAGTAAATCCAACGTTTCACCTGATAATCTGGTTCAAGCTTTTTCAAGGAAAATATAATCAAACAACAAAGTTATCGAATATAAATAGGTACATGGTTCTCTGGTTTACTGTATACTGAGTAAGTCATCCAATCAACGTACTTTAAACGTTGTTCACGTTGATTGGATGACTTACTCAGTATACAGTAAACCAGAGAACCATGTACCTATTTATATTCGATAATTTTGTTGTTTGATTATATTTTCCTTGAAAAAGCTTGGACCAGATTGCCAGGTGAAACATTGGATTTACTTCGAATTCGTTCGGTGAGATTTTAAAAATACATTCTTCCTCTTTAATAATTAATCAGTTGTTTTAACAATCCTTTAAACTTGTAATTAATATAGAAAATTCCAGAAAAAATTTCTAAATTCAATAAAGTAATTAAAAAAATGAAGGAAAACGTTTTTTCCAAAGTATATAATTACTGTGTGAGAGAACAAATTAGATTACATCGTAACTGTTAAAATAATATCGTAATCCATTAGTAACAGTGTCTCACAAATCTGAATGTACTGATTTGTTTATTTCATTAGAATCAGTCACTGAAACAGATGACACTTAACTTTACTTTTAAACAAAAGTGTAAAGCAAATAAACATGATTAGAATATGCATAAGACATGATCCATAAATATGAAACGAATTTGAAAGGTTGTTAAATATCTAATTAGAAAGGTAGGCTTAGCTTAGGTTAAGATTTTTTAAAAATGTCATGTAAAGCTGAGAATTCTGAATGATGCAACAGTGAAGTTGTCAATAACTGAATAGTAACGTATGACATATCATTTATTCATAAGGATGGATTAAGCTCAATCAGTCAAACCTGAACGGTTGCCACTCACTGCCTAAACTAATTCCACATTATTTAACCTTATATAATCAGAATCTACAAATAAGAATGTTTTAAACTAAGGTTCCATAATTGTTGGATGAACTTATTTCTCCTCTGAATGTTTTAGACTTGAAAAAGAGTAATTCTATATCCAGGTTATCCGACCAATAACCAATAACTTCTCAGTATTAGTTATCGGTTTGTATATGCTATCGGTTAAGAACAACATACATCATTATTTCTTCTGAATATTTGATTAATGTTAGTTACAACATTTTCTACATATTAGAGATCTCCAATCTTATAAAAACCATATCAGATAGTTTTATGTTATCATTATGGTTTTGTAAATGAAGAATGTTCAGAAAACTTATACAATATATAAGAATCAATAATGTACTATTAGGTATTGCTTCATATATTGATTGACGATTTCAACCAAAATAAGGGATGATACTAAAAAATCGATGCGACATATCACCATCTTGATCAGCCAGTATATTGAGATAATTAATCCACCATTTAAGAAAAAACGATCAGGATATATCATTTATTTATTAATCGATTTTGATGTTAAAGTAGTATTCTTCATAATTGTATATCATTTATTGACAAATTTGTATTCCTTAGTCTTTTGTAGATTCTTTAAGTATGCTCAAGTAGATTATTATTATTATTAAAAGAGAATAGAAAAGTGGGATTTGAATCTGAAGTACCTAATCTTCAACTAGTTCATTCTTATATTTTTAGTAAATAATTACTAAGCAGTTAATTTACAGTTTTTCTATATCGTTTCAAATTTAAGTCACCTTTTAACAACCTTTTAAGCATATTTTAAGTTATTTATAGAATTGAAGCTAGACCACCATGGAAAACCTGGAAGCACTGGACGGCCATTTCGTCCTATTGTGAAACTCATCAGCAGTACGCACCCACGATCCCGCCTTGCGAGCTTCAAACCCAGGACCTATCAGTTCAACTTAATAGGCGTTGAGTGATTAACGGAATTAAATAAGTCAAATAACGAGAATGGACTTTTGAATACATATATTTTTATATGTGAAGAGAATGGAATAGAGTGAAGCGAAATGACGAGCAGTGGGTTTGGCGGGTAAGCCAACTCCCTTTTAGTTAAGCACTAACCAATGTTTATAGTCACACAAGAGTAGGTTACAGACATATGATGAATAATCGGATAAGAAGTATACACACATACATGAGCTCATATGAAAACAGTCAAGATTGATAAACGAATAATTCACAATGTCAGAATGTGAATCATGTAGAATGAATAGATTAGGCTGTCCGAAAGCTAGAATAAGATATATGAGCTTAACATAGTAATTGATACTACAAGTGTTATTTGTTTCAGTGATTGTAAAGTAACTAAGACTGGGTTACTTATTCCATGAATATTTTATTCTAAAATTAGGTGTTGAGTGGTTTTCTTCAAATCATCAAATCTAATTTTTGAAGAAAAAAGTTAATTTATACAGTCAGATTAGTTGCAGTAGATCTATACAGAACTGAAGAACTAATTGATTAAAAAGTGACGTCACATCATTAGATATCGGAAGGTTTATGTCTCATTTTTTTAATAAAAATTAACTAAAATGGCTTTCTTAAAATATTGAATAATGAACTAATGTCAAATGAAGAATTGTTGAAAACCGAGCTGGTTCAACCTAGAATTGATAGTTTAAAAGTTTATTAAACTTCAATCACAATGATTATCACCATACGTTTATTTAGTTCTCATTTAAACTCGGCAGTAGTTTCATCACATATGCGCGCTGTCTACGCACAGTTGCAGTAGATGGTCACCATTTTCTGAAAGAGACCAACAAGTCCCCATCGGCCACTATTCTGTGTCTAGACGCTCGACCTGAGCATCCAAGTCTCCGGCTAGTACAAAGATATCTGTCGAACACACTTGTTATAGAAAAATAGTTAACTGGTGGTAAAACTCATCCAGGCTGTAATCTGTTGAAAAGTAAATATCATTTCTCACACCGATTTCTTTGCACTTTAACGAAACTTCCTAATCTAACAGTACATAACCGACTGTTAATGGGGATCCAACCCATTAGTGCTACCTCAGCTCTAGCGCTTAGTGCGACACCACCGTCAGCAAGACCAGAGGAAGATACCACAGGGTCCCCGGGTAAACGCACGTGAAACAAGCTTTCTGAAGCGACAGATGGGAAACGAATTTGTAATACTTCACCAGAGTAGAGTCTTGAATACGGGTCTTGGATAGACATCGATACTAAGACTTTCTAAAAGACATAGCCAACCCTATCTGTTGTCCGATCTGCAGTAGTGTTTGGACGTTGTAGGAGGCCAGTTTGAATGGTTTACATGCTTCCAGAAGGGCTGATTCAGTATTCGTAGTTGGTGGCAGTATTCAACTTCTGACCAGTCAAATACTTTAGATCGTCTAGATAGGGCGGGGTTTCGACCATAGGCGAGCTGCTAAGTTGAAAAATACTGAAGCCTGCCACTAGTGAGTACATGATGATTAGCATGGAGGGATTTATGAAAATTGTCGAATTTCCCTACTTTGAATAACAAATCGATGAAGGGTAGTGAATGTACTCTGTTGAGAAGTCCGTTACTTCCAAGTTTTCAATAATGCTTTAAGATCACTTTGTGATTCAAACTATGAAAATAATTATAATATATTTATAAAATAAATTAACTGTAATGAAAATAAAATTGGGAGAAAAGTTACATGTACATTAACTGTCTTATAATTAAGATAACCATTGACATTGAAACTTTAGAGCAGAATAAAGAGGCGGTTAGATATATTTCTTCTGAACACAAAGCTTCGGATCGGTAATCTGAATAGCTATCGCTTCTACCGTTTGAAGAACTCAATTTCCTGATTGTACTTTTGGAACATTAATTGAATGAATAACTATAAAACGTGATAGGAGGTCACTAAAAACATGAAATTCACAAAATAAATCACTTTTGACAAGTTCTTTATCAAACTGTATAATCGCTTATATACAGAAAGAACTACAGGTCTTAACACCATAAGGAAATATAAACAATACATAAAAATGATGACGTAATAGAAAGATTACAATACTAGGTAATGTATTGCAATAAATCCATACTTTTACACTACTTATGGCGAATACTTTATGACAGGTCTTGTAGTTATGACAAATAAAAATAACTCAGTAGTAAAAGGTAATAATGTCATTCATTGATAATATAATAACCATATATAGACTCAAAGACATCAGTTAATATTTATAAGATTCCTGTAGTTTACTTACGGTCTTGCTTCACTTACATTCATTATCCATAAATTAATATATTTATTTTTCTGATAAGTAATGTAAACTTATAGCTAATAACTAGTTAAGAATAAATATAACCTATCCTATTTCACATTTCCATCATAGAATTAAACTACCAATCATAAGTTAACAGCAATATAATATTTATAGCAGATCGGATGTTATTGGTCAAAACCAGGGTTAAAACTACCATCATCTTAAACTCTAAATATATGAATGTAGAATATTCCTTTCAGTAAACCTATATCAAGTTCTACAATGATAATTATAAACTAGAAATAGAAAGGAATAGACATGGCCAAAGCACATAACTTAGTATTTTAGTTATGAATGAAAGATTTGTGGTAAAATATATTTGTTAGTGCATGTAAATGTTAAAGAAAACTAATAAATAATATATACTTTATTCAGTTTTTAGGCCAAATGAAAATGTGGCAATACATTTAGGTAACATAAAGTAAGAAAAATAATCGGATAAACTATCCAATCAAAGATTATCAAAGGCACTTATGGGCAGGATGAAAACAAGAGACAGTGAAGTGAGGTCAGCGCTTAATAAATTAAGTGCACAAGAAAAAATGTAAAGGTTGTAATCATAGTATTCATTGAATCACGTTGACTCAACTTACGGAAGTATGAAACTGGTAGTTAATACACCATTTGAAATGAGTTATCATGTATATCCTAAAATAATACTGACTTATTGAGCTTGAGGTATGTGATTTTAAGGAAAAAGGTTTAACATGGCGTTTTTAACGCACAGAGACTTTGTTTTTAGACCTCTCAGATATCTCGATTGTACTTCAAGTGTAGCATTATATGACATGCGATAACTCCGCCTGCAGCCCTACAAAGGTTACTGCCTGTCCTGAGTTCAGATAAAAAAGGGGGTTAGACATATGGCCAGCAACTCCATCCAGTAGAAAACAACCATATGAAAAAGTAATAACCAGAAGCAACAATTTGAATCGTTTAAACTCTGCCCTCCAAGTTGAAGGATCTCCATTCATAAGAATTATGACTCCTCGTGATGAAAGCCATGATCCATCGGAAGTCACGAGGCAGACGCTCTTTCTAACAACTAGAGCAACAATTATTATGAGTGAATGGGATGTTCGAGCAATGTGGGAGACAGAAGAGACCAATCAAACAATTACGGAAATGAGGAATTACAACTTGGCGGACCAAGCTAGACAGAAATGATTAGATTCGGAAAAAATACTGCTGTACTCTGGTCATGGAGAAGAAAATTCTCCGCACACTCAGTAATTTGCTCTGATGCTGTCCAAGAAAGCACGACAAGCACTTATAGGATGGGAATCTCATGGGTCCAGAACCATCAAACCATCCTCCGGAACAAAGAAGGGGGAAATCACAATGAGATTTATCCAGTATTATGCACTTACCAATAGTAGCGAGGAAGATGATAGTCACCAGTTTCATGAGGAACATTCTTTGATACTATTTTGTACTTGGGAAGATCGTCAACATCGTACGGAATTCATATGACGGGCTACACCACGAGGTGATGCACGGTGAACAGCTGACAGACGCATTCCAAGTGAGGGCTGGAGTCAGACAAAATTGATTACTCTACCAATTTCTCTTTCTTCTGGTAGTTCACTGGATTATGAAGGCCTCCACATCTGAGGAGAAGCACAGAATACAATGGACAGGTTGGATGCAACCAGACGATTTGGACTTCACAGATGACCTGACGCTTCTATCCCACACACATCAACAGACGCAGATGAAGACATAGTGTAGCAGCAGCCTGTGGATTAGTAGGCCTCAACATACACAAGGGAGAAAGCAAAATCCTCAAATACAACAAGGAAAACAACAATCTAACCACACTTGATGGAGAAACTCTAGAACAGGTGGAATCTTTCACGTACCTGGGAAGCATCATCGATGAAGGTGGAAGATCTGATGGAGACGTAAAGGTAAGTATTGGAAGAACAAAGACAGCATTCCTTTAGTTGAAGGACATATGGAACTCAAAACAACTGTCAACCAGTATCAAAGTCACAGTTTTCAACACGAACATCAATACAGTTAGTTATATAGTACGGAGTTGTAACTTGGAGAATTACCACAACCATCATAAAAAAAATACAAGTATTTATAAACAATTGCCCCCGTTATAAATAGCATCCTTATGGTAATATCCAGTTATGTTTGTACCACATACTTTCTAAAAGTACTTCTAGTAAGTTTTATCACGTTTTTTTAGGAACATATCGGGTGATATTGTCCCTTGATCTATATAAATGGGTTGGTGTAACTGAAGAAAGCGACATACATACGCTGGATTTAACAGCCGAAAAGTCGATTTCTCTAATTTTTTGTTCCACACATTGCCAGAAAATATTCTAGAAGCCAGCTGACACCCCAATCAAAATTTATCGCATCAATAGTGTATCGGTGAATAAATCCTCAAAATAAATAGTTCTTTACGTCTTTCATTTGATAATGACCCTCTTAGTTCCACTGGAAATATTCATGATTTATGTGACTCGTTCAAACATCCTCACCAGATCACGACTGTGTACTCCGTGTTACGGTGTTTTCCTACAATAACTAGTCAGCTTAGTTTATATACATAACGACGCATTGACCACGTCTCGAATATATCTTAGAGCCTGTTTATCCTTGACTTCTGCTTTGACTAGTGTTACGGACTACAGCGTTGTCAAGCACAAAATATATTTGATATCCTTAAGGGCACGGATTGACCATCATAGACGATCCTGATTACCGAGTTTCAAATAATCTTATCGTCCTTTAATATCCCTTGAGATATTTGTCATGCAGATATCTATGAATTGTCCCAGGCAGTGGGGTAACGACTGCATAATTTAATTGTGTTAAAGGTTGTTCTAAGCATATGTTCCGACAAAAGGTGAACGAATACTACAAATGTACCATGCGAGAACAGCAATGTTCCATACTGAGTTACGGTCACTGCATAGCTTTAATCCTTGAATTGGTTTTCAAAATGCGTGAACTCAGTCCTATCATATGTCAAATTAGGGGTTCACGTCCATACTGAATAGTTCGCTTATGTTTCCACCGTGGATATTTCTTACAAACACTGCGGTGACGGCCCTCCATCTAGGAGATATAGACAGGGGAGCCCAAAAATCATATCAAAGCATGTCAGCCCAATACTCCTAAATAAACAATCATTATTAAACGACTATATGAAATAGCATTATTTCAGATTGCTCCATACTCCTTTCATTCAGGCTTCTGACTTTCCTTGTCAATATTATAAATGTTCCAAACATTCGTATGGAAAAACAAACCATGGAAGTGTGTGTGTGTGTGTGTGATACAGATATTTGTCTGGGCCGAAATCAGTACAATTCTTCAAATGAGCTCACACATATAGCTCAAATGTGAACAGGTAAAAGCAAATAAATATCGCATACGTAAAAGTACACACGAGTAGGAAGTCGTCATTAGTTATGAGAAGGAAGGAATTATAAGTGGGATAAAAATTGTTCATTTGACACATGAAGTCTGACAATAATATCAATGAGCTTTATAACGCTTGGACGAACTTACTACAGATTTTATCATGATTATTATTGTAATTTTATTTTCAGTAATTATTCAAGTATATGTTTCGTGAGAACACAAGGTTTCTAGAAACATGACATCACCTTTGTCGTACAAAGTTCACCATACAGGTGTTATTTTGTTTTAGACCGGTTTGTAAATTAACTTACTGCCATAACTTCAGAAGTGGGGGGTTTAGGATACTTTGAAAGCGTTATCTCTTTTTTCTGAACTGATAACCCCTTTCAGTCTACAGTAATAAGGATATTGGGTTGGTAAACATGTGTTAATCCTTCTAATGAAGCCCCAGATTCTCCTTGAAAATATTCAATGATGGGGCTGATACCAGCGTTCCAGTCATTGACTACTAGATGAGAAAAATGGGACCTCGCTGTAAGTTTATTCGGTCACGGTTTGCGAACCTTCTTGCTATGACTTCGGAGATTAATAACGCTGGAAGGAGCAAAAAAACAAGATATATTAACACCCAGATCACTATTATTCTCTTATTTTCAACGCTAATATCACGCATACACATGCACTTAAAACTGCAACAGGTATTCGGAGTTTGACAACTCCTTTACTCGTAACAACTTCATGGTCGAAGTATATAAAGCCAGTCAAAGAAGTCAGAAATGAAGTAGATCAAAGATATATTTGGAAGGCAATCTATATATAGTGAGATGATATATTAATGAGCCACTTATATGGATTAAGAGAAGTATCTCTTGTGGGGTGTTCCCTGACATCGCCACGATAAGTAACCAAAAGACTCTGTTTAGGAGTGTACGTTAAAACTGACAATGTCATTAGGAGGGCTGAATATTTCATGGAGTTATTTACCACAACTTCTTCATAGATTTTTTTAAATTATCCAAATTATAAGGTACTTTCATAATGGATAGTAAGGAATAATTCATTATTCTACAGAATAATCACAGCGTAACTATGAATCTATTGAGGTATGTGATGAGACCCACTTACACAAAATCGTTCTTACTAATGATGAATTAACTTTAATCACTGAAATAAATATTGAATATTCAGAATCCACTATTCGCGAACTTCACTTTAAGAAGGTTTGCTGTTTTAATGTTTCGTATTTTGAAGAGCACAGTAAGTTGTCAAGGTCGAGTTGGCAATGACGTTTGTTACGAGTTCAGGTTCGTTACATTAATCTTCTCACAACTGTCAAGGTATATTAAGACAATTAAGTAGAGTTATCAAATAGTCCACTTCTCGAATTTTTCGCACTTGGCAACTAGGATAATTGTTGTTTAATGGGCTACTTAAAAGTCAGCGACACTTCAAGAGGATTTATATATCCTTCTAAGGGAACTTTTGTGTACTTCTAAATCAAAAACACCTCAAAATACAACTGAACAAACGGGTACATGTCCTGACATTTTCAACTGTGTTTCTTGCACATTAAAATACAATATTTGGTGTAAGAACAAACAACAAAAAATATATATAATGCTACACTTCAAATAGATAATTAGTGATGATCGACATAATTTCTGGCAACTATTTAGCACTATATTTCCCTCCAACAGCGAAACTAAGAGCTGTCGGAACGGCTGTTTGTATCAATAAATATATCTTTGTTTGGCATTCAGTAACTTCATGTAATTACCTCATTTTTTGATTACACCGCTCGTAAGTTTTTACAATTTATTAGGTTAGCTAGCACTCAATGTAAAGGTATTTGGGGTCTTTTAAACAGCGTCTCACTGTTTCTACAGATGTATCATTTAAGAAATAAATGTCTTGATCACCACGAAATCCCACTTAGTTCTTAGATTACGCACAGATCTACTTCAGTAGGTACTGAATAACCTTTTTCTCAGTAAACAACAGTATATTTTAAAGTTAAATTCACGAGTTCCGAATGAGATTGACCTATTTTAGACCACTATTGATAACCTGAAATCACTAGACGGCCGTTTCTTCCTACTACAAGACTCCTCGGCAGTGCTCATCCACAGCCGTTCAGTGCTTCCAGGCTTTCAATTGTGGTCTAGCTTGAAATAACTTGTGAATTCAACTTCGAAAATACTACAATTTTTAAGAATCCCCATAATTTACGATAGTGTGTACGTCAAATCGTCTGCTGGTTTCGTACACTTTGAAATATCTTTTAAGGCCTATTTAGGTTGAGTTAATGTTAGTCTTAGTAATGTGGTTGCACAACTAAGAAGTCTAATAAATGAAATACCCAAGATAGGTCAGAAATGCCTTCCTAGAAACATTGGGAGTTATGGCCATAGCGGCTTTGTCGGCCATTTATGCTATACCTCTGCATCGAGGTAGCAGATACAGTCAGAAATTATTCCGTCGGTGGTTAAGAAAAGTTTGTTTCTGTTCAAGGAGC